TGTCACGTTGAGAGCGGCAGAGAAATAAATGAATGAATCTACAGCACCTGTAAATAAAAGCAGTCCTGCTTCCTAGGCGATGCTCTGTAGACCAGAATATTTTTCAGAGGTTGAGTTGTTTTGCTGCCTATACCATTTTTAAGTTATTGCTTGATTAGATGCAATTAGTTCTTTGGAACTCTGGTTACTTTATTTTCTTTAAATAGGGAGCACTAGGCAAATAGTTCAGTGTATATTCTTGGCCCCTTTGTCAAATATCAGATGGCTGAAGTCATATTTACTCATATTGGGGTTTTAAATTTTGTTCCATTGATCTATAGGTTTATTTTTGTGCCAGTACCATGTTGTTTTTTTTTTGGAACTCTGGTTACTTTATTTTTTTTTAAATAGGGAGTACTAGGCAAATAGTTTATTAAATAGGGAGCACTAGGCAAATAGTTTATTAAATAGGGAGCACTAGGCAAATAGTTTATTAAATAGGGAGCACTAGGCAAATAGTTTATTAAATAGGGAGCACTAGGCAAATAGTTTATTCAAACATCCACTTCCTTACTGGAAGTGGGCAAAGCAGGAAAGGCATAAGCATTTTTTTTCCTCCCTAACTTCCATTACATCGAAAGAACAAAGTGGGGATAACATGTCACTTAAGATAGTTCAGCACATCAGTTTTGAAAGAAGTGACCTTAGTTAACAAATTAGTCTGCCTCAACAAATTACAATCAAGATAGTGAAAACTTTCCTTGTGGTCTGTGGCCAGATTCCAAACTTGTTAGGACAATCTTCAGAAAGACAGGAATGTAGAATGTTGAGTTCACTTTAGATATCATTGATGTCCTCATCATCATCTCCAATGTCTTCAAACTGAATTTCATCATCATCTCCAGGACCAAATGTATCAGTTTCATTGATTTTAGCATGTTCTGGAAGCTCGCCATACGCCTTAAGACTTCTAGCTTCATCTGCATTGTATTTTAGAATTACATCGGCTTTGTTATCTTGGTAATCTCAGAGGCCAACCAATATGATGTCTGAGGTATTTATCCAAACCTTTTTTCTCAATTTTCCTCTAATGTGGCATAACCTCTTTACACCATCAAAACAGGTTGCTTCTAGCCGTCCATTTCCCAACATTTTGATTACCTGAGCATATTCTTGCCCATCTTCTTGAACACCAGCTCTCGCTTTTCAGATTCATTCTCATTCTTACCTCTACGTCTATTTTTATCCCCTTTACCTTTATTCTTGGGCATGGCGGCAAAGACCGGCTGGAGGCATCAGGGACGGCTGCGGCTCTGATGGACGACGCTGTGGAGAGCGCGGGAAGAAGTCGGAGCATGGTCGGGAGAGGTTGGCCACAGGTTGCTTCCGAGAGCCTCCTGCACCCATGTTCGGCTACGGCAAATGGCATCCCTGGTTACCTTTTTAACGTGGAAATCCAGCCTACTCTACATTCCTCTGACTTTGAATGACCCACAGTTTGTCTCTGATTTGTAAGCTGGACTGATTCCTATAAGAATCGTATCTTAGTTCGTAAAAGCAGAGGATCCCCCCCACCCAGTGCTGGCCGTAGTGGATGGGTTTTCTAGTATCCTTCAGTTACAGCTGGCTGTGTTTTCTTTCTGGTGCTTGTCTTTATCTCCTTGGACTTATGTTTCTAACTCAGAATCCTTTGCATGTGTCTGTCATTAGTTTGAGGGCCTTCTGGAGTTTGCCATGGACTAATTGTTTATGTCTCAGTTATATTAACAGTTCTGTGACAAATGCTCCCATTCTTACATTTTTATTTTTTGGTCTTTTTGAGACAGGGTCTCCCGTAGCCTCAGCTATCCTGGAACTTGCTATGTAGACCAGGCTGGCCTTGAACTCACAGAGATCTGCCTGCCTCTGCCTCCCGAGTACTGGGATTAAAGGCGTCTGCCACTACCCAGCTCCATTCTTACATTTTTGTATACCAAATGATTTGCTTGGAATAAATTGCTGAAAGTGAAGTTATTGGATCAAAGATAAGCAAATTTTAATGCTTTCAATACATAGTTACAAGTAATTCTTCAGAAAAATTTATACTTTCTAGTAGAATATGTAAGTACTCCTGATTCTGGACTCTCTAATAATAGTGTGTTTGTGTACGTATTTAAAGTCTATCAGCTTGATATGTGCTTCTAGTCCCAGCCACTTGGGGGGCTGAGGCAGAAGGATAACCTGAGCCCAGACTAGTCTTGGAAATACAATGATATCTATGTCAGCAAAACAAAACAAAAAATAAAAATTTGTTAGTGTATAACAAGTAATATCTGCTTTTTTGGGGGGGGAGCGGGCAGGATCTCCTTGTCTATTTATTTATTACTTATTTATTGTGTGTGCATGCACACAAGTGTACATGTGGAGGTCAGAGGATGACTTTGGGAGCTGGTTCTGGCCTTCCACCTTGTTGAGGTAAGGCCTGTTTTGTTTCTGCCACTGTGCTTTGTGCTTCAGGCTAGCTGACAGCTGGCATGCTAGCTTCCAGGTGATTCTCCTGTCTCCACTTCCCATCTCACTGTAGGAGTACTGGTGTTTCAGCTGCGCTACCACATTTGGCTTTTTTTTTTTTTTTTTTTTAAGTGTGGACTCCTGGGGTTGAACTCTGGTTGTCAGCTTTTGTAGCTAGTGTCTTTACAGAGCCATCTCGCTAAGCCTGTTTGTTTTTTGAGACAGGGTCTCATGAGTCCAGGCTGGCCTTGAACCTGTACCAACTGAATCATATCCCCAGCTCTATTTGACTTATATTGTTAGATTAGTTGAACATAATTCATGTTTATTGGCTATTTAAACATTCTGTCAATATTTTTTGCCCATTTTCTTTTAGAATGTGCACTTTTTTAAAATCTTTTCTTATTTTATTCAAAAATATTAATTGAGCAGCTTTTACCTCCCAGGGCCAGACAGTTCTAGGTGAACAAAGTGACAGAAATCCTTAAGGAGCTTATTTGAATGCAGTGAGGCAGAAAATAAATTATAAAACAATGGTGGTGATAGGGACTAGAAACAAATAAGAATGACTCGGGGTAGGGTGCTGTGGTAGAGCTGGGCTGCTGCTGCCATGTAGGTGGAGATCTGAAGAAGACTGAAATGCACTGGGCTGGCACCTAACACGGTCATGACAGGTAGAGGAAGCCATAAGTGCTAAGGCTCAAGGCAAGGCTGCTTTCACTTGTGACTATAGTTTGTCGAGGGAGGAGGAGACATTAGGTGAGTTTAAGAAGTGGGGTGGGCATGAGGAGACACACCACCCTGAGTGAGATGGGAACTACCAGAGAGCTTTGAGTAGTGAGGTCATGTGACGACACAGTATTTTAAAAGAACATTTGTGATTGAGAGAAGACTAGACTTCAGGGGATTGCAGTGAACCTGGAAGGCCAGTTAACAGTAGCCTCTTTCAATATACCACACGAGGCATGCCAGAGGCTTAGATAGGGCAACTAGGATGGGGGTTGTGACAAGTGATTCTGGGTATTTTTGAGCACAGACACCCAAGAGATACTGATAATTGAATGTGGGTATGAAAGAGTAGTTACTATTGACTCCAAGGTTTCTGGCCTGATCAGTTGGTAGGATGCTTTTGCCATTTACTAGATGAGAGGAGTAAGAACAGGTTTGGATTTGTGAGACCTTTTTATGTGATTAAGTATATTAATCTTTCGTTTATACAGAAAAGACTTTTTCCCAATTTTTTGTTAATCTTGTTAGTGTTTTGCTGTTCAGAAATGTCCAATGTTTATTTTGTCATGTGTTAGTCTTACAGGTTTTGGTTTCGCTGTCATGCCTAGAAAGATTCTAAAAACAATTTCCTCTGCTTTTCCCCTTTCTTTAGGTACTCTTAGGATTTTGTATTTGCATTTAATTTGAGTGAAGTTAATTTTGGTGCATACTATGAATTACAGTTCAGCTTTAATTTTTCCTCAGATAATTATCTTGTTATCTTAGCATCATTAAACAATTTACTCTCTGCTGTGAGGAATCATTGTATCATTTCTTTGGAATTGGGAAAGAGGGTATATGTGACAGGTTATAAGATGGTATACGGACTTGTATTAAGGGTTAGCAACCTCCTGGTCTTTGGTTGATGTTACAGTAGCCATAATTTCTCAGCAAACCAGGTTGTAAACATTTCTCTCCTGAGTCTCTTTCATTCCCTCAAAAAATATGTGCTTTAGAAAATGTTTTTTGAGGGCTGGTGAGATGACTCTGGGTAAACACTTGCCTCAAAAGCCTGATGACCTGAGTTCAATCCCCAGAACGCATGTAAAGATAAAAGGAGGGAACCAACTCCACAAAAGTATTCTCTGATCTACATTCATGCATGCATGCACACAAACACGCACGCCATGGCATGCATGTACCCACATTCACATGCACACATTCACACCATAGTAATAAAGCTTAAAAAAAAAAAAAGGCTTTTGTTAGTTTGTCTTGATGATTGAAAGCTCTGCCCTAGAGCTCATGTGACTTGTTCTACACTCCCCACCAAATATGGGTCAGACCCAGGGCCCTGTGCTTGCTATGCAAGCATTCTACTACCGAGCTAAATCTCCAACCCCCTGTGACCTGTTTATAACCACAGCATCTTTCTACCAAATACATTTTTTCTGTTGCTTTATTGTGTCAACTGATAATTCCTCTGAGATTATAAACTCCGATTTGCTTTGGAAATAGGGAACAAGTAGACTTTTACTTGCTGTCCGTGTACTCGCATTAAGGATTCGCGAGCCCTGTGACAGTTACATTTTCCACTGTTCTCTCAGCACTGTAGTCTTTTTCTAATATGTGATCATTTAGAGGTGATGATAGTATTTAATTTACTGAATTTTTTTTGGAAATGGCTGTTCTTACTGACAGTGTTTCCTGAATCATGTAGCTGGGTGGGGTATTGAGGGTTGGAAGCAAACCTCTAGTATATTAGAATTTTAGCAAGGCTGGTTCAACCTAAATCTCTTCAATGTTTTCTTTGCTTTTTGTAGAGAGGGAAATACGACGTTCCTAAGTGGCTCTCTCCCAGTAGCATTCTGCTTCTTCAACAGATGCTCCAGGTAAAGTTCATTATTTTTAAGTAGCAGAAGTCCTTTGTAATTGTTTGTTCCAACTTGTAAGATATCTGTGGGACTGCTGCATTCATCATTATCTGTTAGCTTAAACGGCCTTCCATTCATCATGCATCTCACAGATGTCCTCTGTGAGAACCTGTTAATTATGTTGTAAACCCAAGTGTTTTAGACCTCAAATTTCTTTGATGATGTGGATTTTCTTACTTTTTCTTGATCATTATCTATTTTTTCTAAGTTGTTCTTGCTCTACTGTTTTCCATCTTCTTGTTTCTATTCCTGCACATTAGGTATATAGGGGGTATGGAATATATGCTTGAATGAGCTGATACGTAGTCTAATGGGCCCTGTGATCTCGTGCAGTGCTTCTCAAACTTTACTGTATGCCAGAATTGCCAGATGGGTTTGTTGAAACACAACTTGCTGGACCTTATCCCTAAAGTGCCTGATCCAATAGATCTGGAGCAGGACTAAGTGTTTGAATTTCCAAAAGGCTCCCAGATGGTGCTGATGCTGATGGTGCTGGGATCACTTTGAGAATGGCTCATGTAAGGGAATGAAGGTGAAAGGCGGAGTGCTGAAGTCTAGGTGTTCACTCTATTCATCAGTCTGTGGGCCTGCTTCCTAAACTCTTTTGATCTGTAAAATGAAGTGGGGGTGTCTGAGCCCACCTCACTGCTCTTTAGTGTTTTCTGGATACAGTGAGATTGGTAGGAAATACTTTGTAAATACAAGTATCTTATTAGTGCATTATTTTATTCACTATGTACCCAGAATATCTTCCAGTTTTACTATCAATTAAGCCATCTCTTCCTTTAATTCAAAATGTACCTCAGGCTCACCCACCTTGATTAAGTAGGGCCAGATCACCAAATCTCCACAGTGAGATTGGAGAATGCCTTGCTCTTTTTTTTGGACCTCCAAAACTTAATCTTTGTTGATTACTTTTCTCTCCTCACATTTGAACATCACAAATGGAAAAGAAAGGCGTGCCTTTCAACTTGTTCTGTGTGACTGTAGGCTCATCAGAGGTAGAGATTGCATATTCAGTATGACTGCTCTGCATTGAGCCTGCTTGAACATTAAATTGGTGAATATTTCCTGTGAATAGGTTTTCCAGCAAAAAGATTATTACATCATACAATAGATTGACTCAACTTCATGAATAATGTCCATACCAATGCAGTTCATGTTTGTTAAACATTTATCTTCTGGTCTGTGTTGGTTGCTATAGTTTTCTTGCCTCTATCGCCTTTTGAAAAGAATTTATTCCAAGGCCATTTAAAGGTCTTTGACAATGTTTTTGTGATGCTAAAGTTTACATATGTTCTGGTGCATTTCAAGTTCTCTGAAGGAAAGGCGTTCTGTGTTCTCTGTTTGAAATGTACTTCAATGACCACTAGGTGGACCCAAAGAAACGGATTTCTATGAAAAATCTCTTGAGCCATCCCTGGATCATGCACGATTACAACTGTCCTGTTGAGTGGCAAAGCAAGACTCCTGTAAGTACAATGAAAGCTGGTAAAACTTTATTTTTAGAAGTTTGTGAATTCAGGACCTACAAAGATAGGATATAAATAAGAAAGGAAATATATTTTATAGACTTACTCATCAGACTGGTGTGGGAAGACTTATAACCATATTCTATATTTATCTGTAAATCTCTAGAGCAGTAAGTTGGTTGCTTGACTGAACTTCACATGAGAATCACTTGGAACCTTAAAAACAGTGCCTGGCTGGGCGTGGTGGCACATGTCTACAATTCTAGAACTTGAGAAGCAGACAGATCAGGAGTTCAATACCAGCCTCAGCTACATAAGACCCTGCCCCCAACCTCACCCAAAAGAGAACAATCCCTGCTTCCCATCCCAGAATACTCAGCAAGTATTTTGAAAAGCTCCTGAGTATTTTTTGTGTGAAGTCAAGACTATAAACAGTGTTGGGAGAGTCTTGGAAAAGTTCTCTAACTCTTCTAAACCTATTTATTCATCTGTTAAAATAGAGTAGTAATGAAGTTAAATCAGTTTGCAAACATTTTAGTCTGAAGACACTTGCATCTTTAACATTTGTTGATTAATTCATTAACAGGTAATAGTAATACTGAGTTGAGTGTAGGGCACATGCCTGTAATCCCAGCATTTGAGAAGTTCAGGAAGGAGGTTTGCAAACTCAAGGGCATCCTGGGCTATATACTGAGACTGCTTTAAAACAAAAGAAAAACGTAATAAGCATGTTATAGATCATTTGTAAAGAAAATCCATTTAAAGAATTTGGCAAAGGAGTGGCATGTTGATGTTTTACAAACTTCTGTGGAGTCTGGTAAAATAGTAGATGCCTGTATAACCTCCTTCTGTGTGCAGAAAATGTAGCCTTGCCGGGCATGGTGGCACACGCCTTTAATCCCAGCACTCAGGAGGCAGGGGCAGGTGGATCTCTGTGAGTTCAAGCCCAGCTGGGACTACAGGGAGACGTCTCTAAAAAAAAAAAAAAAAAAAAAAAAAAAAAAAAAATGCAGCCTCATACATACGTAGAGGGAAAAAATTAATAGCCTTTTCAGATATTTTCCAATAATTCTTTTTTTTAAGGGCAATTTTTAAATGATATTTATGTATAGAAAACTTAGCAGTGGACATTTAACCCAGTTTGGTGGCGAGGTCTTTGGCCCTTGCCTTTTCCACCTTGGCAATGTGAACCACAGATTTTGAACCCAGGATGTCACCTCCCCATTGACACCAGATCTCATCATATCTGTTAATTGTAATTGGTCCTGATGGTTTCCACCAGCTTAGCCAGTGTGCCTTTGTCTACCGAGTTGACCTGTGTGACGACCACGGTAGTGCACGTTGTCCTGTGGAGTAGCCATCACAGCCTGGCCTTCCCCATGATGATGCAGTAGGGGACCCCCATCCATCTATCTTGTGACACAGGGCAGGCAGGAAGACCACCAGCTTGATGGGGTCTATGTCATGTGCGATCACCACTAGCTGAGTCTTCTTGTTCTCCACCAAGGTGGTGACGGTGGTGCTTGCAGGACGGGGGTCTCTTGGTGGGGATGTCTCCTTTGCCACCTTGTTAGCTCAGGCCAGCAGCCTCTACTGCTTCTGCTTTGTCTCTGGCCAGTACTTATTGGGAGCCTGAGCAGCTAGGTAGTTGTTTGAAGGACCAGGGCCTGAGTGAACTGGTTGATCGTGGCGGGGGACGGATCCGGCAGCCCTTTGTCGATGCAGCCGGATGTATTGGGGCCATTTGATAAAAGCAGGTGAGGTCTCTTTGGGGCTGGATGTCCTGTCCAGTGCCAAAGTTTTAGGCCTTTTCTCAAACAGAGAATTCACCACCTTCTTGGCCTCCTGCTTTTTCATGACTGCAGGGGCCAGGGTCACCTTCTTCCCCTTGACCTTCTTTCCTTTCAGCATCTTTCTCTGTTGGAGGAGAGCTCTGATAATTCTTTAAAGTGTGGTAGTTTCTCAAAGATTAGTTGCAGGTAGAATCCGAAGCCAATCAGTAAGCACTTTGGACTCTACTCCATAAAACCCACTAATCTGTTCATGGGCTTTTCTCCACATGTTACCTCATGTACTGGTCATTTAGAAAATATCTGTGCACTGAGTTGTACAGCTCTTCCAAAAGCAAATACATTTCCTGACAGAAATATGAAAGAATCTCATTCTTTACCATCACTACTGATCTCGTCAGATAGAACTTTCTAAGAATTGGAAAGCTATCCATCTCCTGCTGGCAGATACACATTTTCTAAAATTTTAATTTTTATTTGAAATATAAAATTGTATTGTTGGCAATAAATACTGTCACTTAATTTCCTTAACGTGACATCTTTAAAACATTTTTTCCCCAAATATCCAAATCTGAATACATAGTTTGTTAGCGTTCTTTCCAGTAAAATGGTATACAATGAATAAAATGTCTAGTTGTACCTGTATGTCCTCACAGACTCTGTCCTCAGACAGCCCCTGTACTTTTGGACTCTTCCATTTTATCACACAGAATACTAAAAACACATGTACTCAAGGTCACAGTTTAACAAAATTCATACTTCAAAGTTGCTTCATCAAAGATTTAGTGGAAGCCAAAAACTGGGTTGTCTTTGGAACTGTGAGTACATGACAAAATATACTGACTCAGAACAGTGGGATTTGGGCAGAAGTGCCAGTTTTATTCATTTTTGTTTTTATATTGTCGGTTCAAATGTCAGCAGTGTGAGAATGAAAAATGTTATAAAACCAGTGTTGACCCTGGAGACCCTCAGGAGATGGCAGATCACACTGGTCTAATAAACAGGTGAATAGACTGAAACACAAAGTGCTATTCTTCCTACCTTAATGTTTGAAAATACTTTGTATGTTTGTGTTTGTGTAGGTGTGTGTGTGTGTGTGTGTGTGTGTGTGTGTGTGTGTGTGTAGGCCAGAAGACAACCTTATTGTTCTTCAGGATTGCTGTCCACCTTGGTTTTGTTCTTTTGGGGCAGGCCTGGTGCTTGCTGAGTAGGCAAGGCTAACTGGCTGGTGAGCCCAGGGGTCTACCTGTCTCTGCCTCCCTGTACCGGGATTACAAGTACATATCACCATGACAAACTTTTTCTTTTACGTGGATTCTAAGGCTTGTACTCAGTACTTTACTGACTGAGCTGTCTCTACAGCCCTGAAAATACTTTTTAAAGACAAGTGGCAAGTTGGGCATGGTGGTACACATCTCTAATCCCGGGATTTGGGAGTTAGAGGCAAGGGGATCAAGAGTTCTTGTTATCCTTGGCTTACATATTGAGTTAGCCAGCCTGAGCTACATGAGACTCTGCTTAATCAAACAAAAGCAAAACCTAAGAGAAATAAATAAAACAAATGGCAATTTGAACATGGTAAAAATGTGAATATTACTAAAGGCATGAATACTTTGTGTATCAGTTAACTCTTGCCACATAAAAAGACTGCCCTGAAGTCTAGTGACTTAAAAGAATGCTGATTTACAATTTTGTGAACTAGCAATTTTGGCTGGTTTTAGCTGGGCAGTTCATACAGGAATCTTGCTTGGGTTTAATCTTGTGTCTGTTGTGGTCTCTTCATATGATTGGAGCTAACCTGTGTCAGCCTTACTCTTAAGACTAGCTGTTTATGCTTTCTGTTTGCTAGGCCAGGTGTATTCAGGAAGTTGGTCTGGGCTAGTTCAGATGGTGGCTGGACTCCAAAAGAAGGAAGAAAGAGGGCAAACCCTAACACCAAGCAGTTTTCAAGCATGCTTGCATTGTGTTTACTAATGTCTCAGATACCCAAAGCAATCCATGCGCTAAAGTCCAGAACCACTTTGGAAGGTGTACCCTTCAACATCAGAGCAATTTGTATTCCCCATTGCATATGAGGAAACTGAGACGAAAAATACTGAAGAGATAGATTGAGGGAGAAGAATGGCATTGCTTTACATTGGTTTAATAGAAGATACATGGATATTTATCTGGCCCCAGCCCTGTATGGGGATGAGACAGGAGGATCACTGATGCTTGCTGACTGCCAATCTGGCTCCAGGTTCAGTGAGAGATCCTGTCTCAAAAGAACAAGATGGAGAGTGACAGAGCAAGACACCTGGCAGTCTCCTCTGGCCTCTGCATGCTCACAGATGCGTGCACCCGCGTACACACATGCACATGCAGTACACACACATGTGCACACATGAAAATGCCAGCTCATATTCAAGAGGAGTGTTTTAATAGCCTCTGCAGATAACTGAGGCTATTCCCTACTTCTGCAATGGAGTGTGATAGGCACATAAATCAGAATAACTTGGAGATGTGTTTCAGACATGCCACAGTGTAGACTAATTAGGTGTTTGCTTTCTGGAATAATCAGATCAGTGCATACAGGTACTTTCCCCAGTGGTTTACTACTCTTAGAAAAGTAGGTTTAACTTGCTTCAAGCCTCTACTCTTCTCTGTTAGGGCCTCTACTTAAGCCTTCAAGCCTCTACCCTTTGTTAGGACCACTAGCCATTGTTGGGGCCACACAGCGTGAACTAAAATCCCTCCTGGTTCTCCTTTGATGGTCAACTCCTATGCTTCTCTTCATTCTCCTTGGCCCTTCGTGATGTGATCAATATGTGTTGAGTAAATGCAGCTCAGTTCTAGTGATTTTTAATGCTGAGAGTCCACGAGCTGTGCAAGTGTCCGAGCAGTGCAACAGCAGGAGGACCAGGGGAACTGCCATCCTCCACTTGTGAGATTGAGAGTGGGTGGTACAAATGCCTGTGTTCAACCATTGGGGGTCATCGTTTCTCCATGTGTGGAAGGTATTGCATGTCTTTTCAGCCATGATTCTAATAGGCTAACTGCACTACTGTTTGTGGTAGAACAGATACCAAAATGAAGAAAGTCAGCATTGTTCTGTAGGCTTTGTTTTTAAGTCCTTGAACTCATTCAGTCCTCACACTGGCTCTCTGAAGTAGGTGCTGTTATTGTCCCCATTTTGCAGATGTAGCAAATGAGACACAGAATCATTAAGTAACTTGTCCAGAGTCGAGCAACTATTAAATATAGATTAGAGAACCAGAAGTTTAATTCAGACAGAAGGACTGCAGTGTGGAATCAGCCTGCCAGGGTCAACTAGTTCAGGGCTTTGTATCCTGTGTATCTGCAGCCTTTGTGGCACACATTGCTTATCTGGTGTCCACTAGAACAGAGTGATGAATAGGTGGCATCGTGGTGTGGCAGAAAAGCTCTGGGCCTGGAATAAAAAATGCCAGCCTTGGGTAGATAGTATTACTTTTCTTAATCTTCATCTTATCACCCTGGTACAGGATTTTAGTTTCCTGTGCCAGCTCTGGTCTTGTCTTGCCATTTCTAGAGTACTCGACACTGGCTCATTCACCTTCTCGGTCTGCCTTACATGGCTGTTGCAGGGTAAAATGAGTTGTAAACAGAAGAGGTCTAAGGGATTGTTGTCGGTTTTTGAAGTATTACTTTTCTCTTTCAGTAGTGTGTGTTATCAAGAATGAAGTATAAAAATCATTCAGATTTACTTGAATATTTAAGGCATAAATGCCGTAATAATTCTTTGCATGGCCTCCTCATGCCATTTTCATGCACAGCTCTAGTACCAGGGTATTGTATCAAATAGAAGTTATATTCAGTTCCATTTTCTGCCCTAGTGAACAGGAAATGTAGCAGGCACGGATAATCCAAAATAATTGGCTAGTTTGGGGCATGCATTCTTGTCCTTAACCTAACCTGAGTATGTGTAGCTGAGAATCTAGAGCATGTCAAACAAAGTATTGAGCCCTTTGGAAAACAAAGTCTGAAATGAGTGATATTTCTCAGGCCTTGATGTGTTTGTCCCCTGCCCTTCTTATTCCAGTTCAGGAGTCCAGCAGAAAGTGGGGTCCTTCCTTCATACCCTTCTTCTTTTCCTGTGTATATCTTGTGGTAGATGATGCAGGAGAGTATGGGGAAAATAGGCTGTTTTTCTATTTCTTCTTTAAAAAAATTTTAAACTCTGTGTGTTTGTGTACCACAGTTTATGTGTGGCAGCCAGAAGACAACCTTAGGGAGTCAGCTCTCTCCTTCTATTATGTGGGACCTGGGAATTAGTCTCAGGCCATCAGGCTTGGTGGCAAGCACCTTTATCCAGAGTCATCTTGCCAGCCCTGGTTATTATTATTATTTTTTCCCTCTCTTTAAAATAGGGTCTCCCTGAGACCTACACTGGCCTTGAATTTGGTACATAGTTTAGTTTGGCCTTGAACTTTTGATTCTCCTGCCTCAGCCTCCTGATGGCTAGAATTACAGGTGAATGCCACCACACCTGTTCGGACGTGTATCTTGTTTTAGGGAATCACTAGGCTCTGGAGGGTCTCTGTTCTCTTCTTGCTGGAGCAGTGGTATCAGCACAGGAAGGTGCCCAGCTGGGTGTTGAGTGTTTGGGCTTTTGAGATTGAGATCATGCCAAATGGGGACTCTGTAGTTCTGAGAGTCACAAAGGTTAAAGCAACACAATGAAATCACAGTTCTTAGCACTTTAGACTTCCACAGTGCCAATAGTATAAACTTTGTGGTCTCTACTTTCTTTATAACTCTTGAGTTTGTGCTTGTACTAGCCAGCAGTGCAAGTTTGCTCAATCTATTTGACCGCCTATAACAAAATATAAATTGGGTAGCTGTAAGTTCTAGATCAAGGACTATTTGGTGTCTGGGATGACTTACTTTTCTATTTGTAGTTGGTTTCTTCATGTTGTAGTGGAAAGGTAAGGGATGCCTCTGGGGCCCTTTGATCAGGCATTGTTTCCGTTCATGAAGACCAATTCCACTCTTCATCTAATCACTTTCCAAAGTCCCCACCTCCTAACACTGTCATATTAGATTTCCAGTGGTTGGGAACACAAACATTTCAGACCACAGTAGGGTCATTGTCTTTTTCTCTCCTTTAAGTTGGCAGGATAACTTTCTCATGAGCTCGTTGTTACAAGTGTGGCTTACTGAGTGAGGGTGGGTCATGATACTGCTCTGCTTTGTACTAGGCAAACCTCTCCTGCTGTGTCTGATTCCAAGTAGCCCATCCATGAGGGTCACAGTCTGAGGCTTGTGTGATATAAAGAGTGGCAGAATGGTCTGCTAAGTTTTTCATTAAAACGGTCGAGGAAAAGAGAAAACTTGGAGTGGATAATTTGCCGAAACAGGCATGTTTAAATTTCTGAAAGTGTCTTATCAAAGGGGAAATAGAATTATGTATATTAGTAAAATGGTTAACCATTTTATGAGGGCCTTGTCTGTTTAGATGTGTGTTGCATTCGCCATGTGTCACATACATTGCAAGGCATATACTATCTTTCTTTTACAGATGATAAAACTGAGGCTCAGAGAGACATAGTGGCATGCTTTATAAAGTGATGTAATGAAAACCAAAGTCTGTATAATCTCAAGCCCGTTAGCTGTCAGGCCGCACTGACTAGGGTAGTGATCCCATGGAGACTGACTTCAGATGACAGGGAGAAGCTGACTGTCCCAGCTGTTCTGACTTCCCTGAAGAGGACTTGAGGTCAAAAGTGAAACACCATATCCGGGGCTGTTGTGAAGATAATGTCCTACTTTAAAAGTTATATTCCTTGAGATTTTTTCACATTCCATCTTCTGACAGCTTTCCATGCCCAGAATAGGCCATTCCTGCCATTTTGTTCTTAGTAATCCATATTTGGTTTATTTCTGGACCCACGCTTGGTGAGGTCTCACCATGCAGGGGTCTGAGGACTTGGGTAATATCTATCCCTAAGCAGATTGAAATTTGAGTTGGGAGTTGCACTGTATTTAAACATTATGATTTGCTGAATCTTCAGTGTGATATGGTTGTGCAGCATCTGTCACATGCCCATCACAAGGTCTCGGATTGTGCAGACCTAAACATGACCTGAGGCACACCATGCTACATGTCAGAGCCACTCTTTGACCGGTTGTACCAACACAGAAGATGTTCAGTCATGATTTTCAAGACGTGGCTGCTCTTTGATGAAAATGCCGGTGCGGGTCTTATGGTAGGGATTGGGACACAGTCCCTCTGCTGCACAGAAGCACTCTTAACACTTGGTTAGCTCAGCAGTAGAGGATTTGCCTGGCATGAGACCTTGGGTTCTGTGCCTATCACTGCAGAAAACAAAAAGGGAATGTTGATGTGTATCCAAAAGTTTGAGAGATCAAAAGTTTGACAGACTCATGTTCTTTCTACACGTTGCTATTTGATATTTTGAAGTAATTATGCTGATATGCCAAGATTTCAAACTAGTATATTTGTGGATATTGTTTTAATAATTTTTTTTTTTGTAGTTTCTTCACCTTGATGATGATTGTGTCATAGAGCTTTCTGTGTATCACCGTAACAACAGGCAAACAATGGAGGACTTAATTTCTTCGGTAAGAAATTCAACATGAATTTGAGAGTGATATCTTTTGTTTCATTGTCCTTCTATTTTGTTAGTAAATTAAAGATAATACAGCATTTTTCAGATCCACGATGTTATCATGAATGTAAATATTGTGCCTATTTTATATTCATGTATGATTTCAATGTAGCTCTTTCTTTACATCCTCTTTAAACATGAACATTCTGCACTTAGGACATTGATTAGAGAAACATAATTAATAGATAATTGAGAAACAGAGCAAACTGATCCATAGAGAATTGGCAGTTTTGATTTTAAAGTTAGGAAACACAGAAATCTGGTTCTTCCGTAAAATGAAGAAAACAACACACTTGAATTTTTTTTCAGGCAGGATCTTGCCATGTAGCCCAGGTAGGCCTCATAAACTGTCTTTCTTCCTGCCCCACCCACTTCCATCCCCCCAAGGTCTTAGTCATATAGCCCAAGGTGGCCTAGAGCTCACTATGTAATCCAGGCTAGTTGTGTTTTTTTTTTTTTTTTTTTTTTTTTTTTTGGGACAGGGTCCCCCTGTAGCCCCAGCTGTCCTGGGACTCACTATGTAGACCAGGCTGGCCTTGAACTCAGATCCACCTGCCTCTGCCTCCTGAATGCTGGGGTTAAAGACGTGCGCTAGCACGCCTGGCCTTAATTCAGGCTAGTTTTGAATTCATGATCTTCTTGCTTCTGTCTCCATAGTGGTGGAATTACAGGCTTGTTCCACTGCCCAGCTCACACCAGTTTTTATTTTATGTGTATGAGTGTTTTGCTTGCATGTCCATCAGTGTCATGCAGTGCTTGAAGAGGCCAGAGGCCAGAAGAAGGTGTCAACCCCTGGAACTGTTTTTCTTTTTTTCTTTATTTTTTTGGTCTTCTTTTTGTTTGTTTGTTTTTATTTGTTTTTTGACAGGGTCTCCCTAGTCACAGCCCACCTGGAAGTCACGATGTGAACCAGGGTGACCTCAATCTCGAAGAGATCCACCTGCCTCTGCCTCCTGAGGGCTGGGATTATAGGTGCATGCCACCATGCCCAGCATTGGAACTGGTTTTGCATGGTGGTTAACACCATGTGGGTACTGGGACCCAAACCCTGGACCTCTACAAGATCAGCCACTGCTCTTAACTGTTGAGTCACCTCCCCAACCCCCATTGTCAAAGATTTCTAATGTTGGATAGTTTTTGCTCTTTTAGATCCTTAATATCTGGATTAAACCTGTGTTTATTTTCCAGAGTTAGAGGCATTCGCAGCTCTGAGTGGCATTTGCTGTGATAGGTGAAGGCTCACACCTCTCTTTGATCCTGGTTGGGCACTGACTTTTGTCACCTATGATTTGTACTTGTTTTCTCAGTTTTTCCGGTGTGCAAGGTAGAGACCTTAAGCAGTGTTTTTTTTTGTTGTTTTTTTTTTTTGGAACAGAGGTTTACTAAGGCATAGTATTTGCAACAAGAAGGAGAGACAAAGGAATTCTTTTGAATAATGTAATGAGTAGAGACTCTGGAATATGTCTACAATATGTCAAGAATTGGAAATTACTGTAGAACATGACAAAACTATAGTCTTCTAGTGATAAAATTTTGAAATTTCCACTTAAGTAACCCAGAAACTTAATATACTTTTTCTTTGGGATGATCTTTAATAGAAAACTGTTTCAAGTCAGGCTTGATGATTCACACCTGTCATCTTAGCACTAAGGAGGCTAACTGATAGCAGGAGAATTGCTATGGACTAGCCTGAGCCACAGCTTGTGGGATCATCTCAGAAACAGTCGAACTCCAACGGGCACGGTGGTTCACACCTGTGGTTGCAGTACTTGGAGGCTGAGACAGGAGGAGTTCAATGCCAAACTGGGCTGCATTGTTCCAAATAGACCTGGGCTACATTGTGAGATCCCGTCTCAAAAAATGAAAAATCCCAACTCCGGGTTGGTATCTGAGGTTCGTGCTTCACTCAGCCTTCTTAGAGAAGCTTCTTATTGCAGTGGGAGGCCGTTAATGCAGAGCCAGTAACTGCCAGAGTACTGAAGGTAAGTGATGGTGACCCCTGTAAGACTCAGGGGTCATCACAGATGAGGTGATAGAAAGAATGTAAGAGCCAGAAGATGGGGAGAAACAGCAAAAGCTGTCTTCTGCATAGGACATGGCCGTTGCCCTGACCTCACTGCACCTGTGGATACCTGCACAAGACTGGGCCTGTCAATATTTCACAGGGGGGAGCCCGTGAGGCCCCCACCCTCCCCGAGAGTCTATTGGTAGTTAATGGTGGCTAGGCAAAGCGTGTCATTTTCTCCAGTGATGCAACTCACATTCCAGTATTGAACCTCCCACCCATGTTCCTGCAAGCAACTCTAATTAAACGCAGTGGGTTACACACAAAAGTAGGAAGGGGACTTGTTTGGAAGAAGGTTTCATTGGGAGAGGGAGGAGGGTAAGAGAGGAGAATGGGGGTCAAACAATTAAAATTCATTATCTACATATATGAAATTGTTAAAGATAAATCAAATTAAAAAACCCTTTATATTTTAGATAAATGTTATAGACACCTACAAAAGTATAGTGCATGATGGTGGCAATCAATTTCCAGGTACTAATCATCCAGCTTTAATCATTACAGAATCTTGCCAGTTTTAGGGCTGGGGACAGATCTCAGTGTGAACTGCATGCTTAGCATGTTTGAGGCCCTGGTTTCAATCCTTTGTCCCCCCCCCCCCCCCCCCGCCGTACAAATACTAATTTTAACTATATTTCAGTACCTTTTCCTTTTTACCTTTGCCAGCTAGAATACTTTGGAAAATCTCAGACATTATGTCATCTTATTTATGAAAAAATTTGTATGATATCTATAAATGCTTTAAATCTGCATTGTTATTTTCTAGTATTACATCTCTCTAAAGGTCTTCTAAATCATTTTGAAAGATAAACATGACCAACAACTTTGAGATTGCAATGAGAAAAGTAATTGTTTTGTTTTTGTTTTTGTTTTAAAAGGCAGGGACTCCTGTAACTTAAGCTTGCCTCAAACTTGTCAGGTAGCTGAGGATGACCTTGAACTCCTTGTCATCCTCCTTCTACCTCCCAAGTGCTGGGATTACAGGCATGTGCCAGCTTCATAGTTTTTCTTGGTACTCTTTTCTCATTTTTAAAAAAAATATATTTATTTATTGTGTGCATGTGTATGTGTGCATACACATAGAGGATGACTTGCTGGGGTCGCACCTCTGATTATTATTTTGTTCATCTGGGATGTTACCCTAGGAATGAGAACTTTTTCTCAAAGAAGTGCATTCTATAGTTGGGAGTTAAGACATGTTGTTCTATGAATCAGAAGCTGCAAAGAAATTCCCCAGGTAATTCTTATGTATATTCAAGCTTGAGAAGTATTGGTCCAGGCCAGTTCCTAATTAGAGGTGATTTTGCCCTTCAGGGGACATTTGGCAGTGTGAGATATTTTTAATATCTGGGGGTGTCTATGCAGGTGTACTAATGACACTGAGTCACAAGATGCATAGATACTGTTTAACACCCAGTGGGGCATGGAAGGTCCCTTAAGAATTACCCAGTTTAGATGTCATTAGGGCCAAGACTGACGCCCCTCATTGAAAAAGGCTCAGAGAATTCACATTTGTTCTAAATACTTTCCAGTTTGATACAGGACTGGCTCTGTATTTGAGACTGGCCTTGAATTTGGGATCCTCCTACTTCAGCCTCCCAAGTGCTGGAATTAACAGTGTGCCACCATATCCAACCTTTGCTTTCCAATTTGAAGAGCCCTGGGAAAAACCTAAATTTGAGATCAGCTAGGGTCTGTTAAAATTAAGGGAGCTCTGCCTATATTTGGGGGGCTAGTTTGACAGGATACAGATTAGTTCATATGACTCATGCTAGTTTGGTGCAGGCAGAGAAACAACAGGACTCCCAAATATTCAAGCTACATGGAACTTGCACTTTAATATTGCATATGTAAGCATAAAGTTAAAATTTTAATTTTTTAAAATTATTTTTATTGTCTGCATGTATGTAAGTGCACCCGTGTCATGCAGTGCCTGTGGAGGACAGAAGAGGGCATCAGATCCCCTGGAATTAGAGTTACAGATGGTTGTTAGCCACCATGTGGGTGCTGGGAACTAAACCCCGGTCCTCTGCAAGAAGCAGCCAGTGCTCTTAACTGCCGAGCCACCTCTTCAGCCCCTTGTCTGTTTTTTTGAGACAAGGTTTTGTTCTATAACCCAGGCTGGCCTAGAACTCACTATATAGCCCAGGCTGACTTCAAGTTTATAGCAATCCTGCCTCAGACTCCCGAGTTCTGGGATTACAGATGTCGTCTGGTTAACTTTCTATTGCTGTGATAAAAACACTGACTATGGGGATTGGAGAGATGGCTCAGTGGTTAAGAGCACTGACCGCTTTTTTTGCAGAGGACCTGGGTTTGATTCCCAGTACCCACATGGTGGCTAACAAACGTCTGTAACTCCAGTTCCAGGGGAATCCCAGCGCCCTCTTCTGACCTCCACAGGCATTGCATGACATGGGTGCACTTACACACATGTGGGCAATACACTCATACACATTAAATAAAATAGTAAAATATTAACAACAACAACAAAAATCCAAAAAACACTGACCAAAACTAACTTGGGGAGGGAAGGGTTTATTTGGTTTACAGTTCACAACCCATCATTAAGGGAAGCCAAAGCAGGAGCTCAGGGCAGGTACCTGGAGCACAGATCGTAAGAGGAATGCTGCTTACTGGCTTGCTCCCCTGGCCTGTGCTCAGCCTGCTTTCTTATACAATACAGGCCCACCTGCCAGGGGTGGCACCACCCACAGTGGGCTGGGCCTCCCACATCACCCAGCAATCAAGAAAATGCCCCACAGACATGGCCACAGACCAGTCCAATGGAGATAATTCTTCAGTTGAGCTTCCCCTAACCAGGCGTGTGAAGTTGACAGCTACAGCTATCCAACACAGATGTCTACCATCGTGCCTGGCTTCTAAATGCTTTTGTTGTTTTTTTGTTTTTTAAACAACTAAAAAATTTTGTGTGAAGTAGTTAGACTCCCCTATGGCTTATGATTTGAGCAATGGCATCAAGTCCCTCCTGAGATTCCTAATGGTATTCAAGCTGCCAGCCTACTGTTCTTATCGTCCCCCTGTTCTCAGCTGTTTTGAGCAGCTCTGGATTGTGGGAACCGCCAGGCATTGGGAGGGGCACTTCACTTAGAACTGCATGTGCTTAGAACAAGACTCTAATTAAAGACAAAACTGATCTCCCTCCTTCTCCCCTTATAAAGTACCTGTGTACTTTAAGAGAGAATGCCGTGTGTGTTGGGGGTGGGGTAGTAAGCCATTCTCAGTTTTTCTGATCCTAGGGATGAGTAGCTGCTTCTCCTCAGTCCATGTGCCTGTGAACTTAGTATTTAACTGAAGAATTAAAAGTGTTTTTAGGGTCTACGATATGGCTCAGTGGGCAAAGAAACTTGCTACCAAACCTGACCACTGGAACTGAAGAACTGACTCTGTTAAGTAGATGTGCACCATGCCCTCCCTCCCCATAAATAGATATAAAAAAAGTTGATAGTGTTTTTAGTTTTCTAGAAATTGAAGCTTTACTTTTAGACATTTGTTTTCTTTTTTCTTTCTTTTTTTTTTTTTTTTTTGGTCTTTTTGAGACAGGGTCTCCCTGCCCTAGCTGTCCTGGAACTCACTATGTAGACCAGGCTAGCCTTGAACTCACAGAGATCCGCCTGCCTCTGCCTCTCGAGTGCTGGGATTAAAGGCATGCGCCACCACACCTGGCTTTCTTTTTTAAAATATTATTTTTATTTTATGTGTATGTGTGTATTGCCTGCATGTAGTTAAGTGTACCCGTGTTGTGCAATGCCTGCAGAGGACAGAAGAGGCTGTCAGATCCCTTGGGACTGGAGTTATAGACAGTTAGCTGCCATTTGGGTGCTGGGATTCGAACCTGGATCTTCTGCAAGAACAACCAATGTTCTTAACCACTGAGCCATCTCTCTAGCCCCAGACATTTGTTTTCAAAAGAAGCAGTTACCTAAAAATTGCTGGAGGATGGTTTCTACCCAAACCATCAAGACTGTAAATCAAGAAAGAGGAATGCATGGGATCTAGGACAGTAGGGGAAGATTGTAGCATGGAGGTGAAGGGACTTCCTTGACTCACAGAAGCCAGTTGCAGGCAGAGAGTAGAATGTCTCTAGAGAGGGGGGAGGTTGGGTAGCTGATGTACCACAAGCATGTTGGGAGGTAAGTGTGGGATATGTACTCTTTAATTAAATTTTTTTTTGACTTTTAGAATTTTATGCGTATGAGTGTTTTGCATGTATGTAAGTGCACCACATGTGTGTAATGCCCATGGAGGCCAGAAGTGGGCCTTGGATCTCCTGGAACTGGAGTTACACATGGTTGTGAGCTGCCATGTGGGTGCTCTGCAAGAGCAGCCATTGCTTTTAACCACTGAGCCATCTCTCCAGCCCCTTTCTTAATTTTGAACCTCAAGGAACACAAAGTTCTAAAAAGCAAAAGGAGAATGCAAGAATGTCAGGTCTTTCTTTCTCCTGTTCTAGTTTTGCTTTTTTTTTTTTTTTGTCTTTGGCTCTATGTGGTTGAGCTGCTGGGCCATATAGCCAACCAGCATGGCTGTATTGATTATTAAGAAGTTAGAATATTTGTGTATTGATTGGTAAATAACTAATGAATTATCCCCCCTCTTGTCCTGTTACCTTTCTTAGATAGATGCCGTGGCTCCATTTCCCTACTTTTCACAATTTATTTTTTTATTTTGTGGTGCTAGGGATTAACCCAGGGCCTTGCACATGCTAGGCAGTCACTCTCACATTGAACTACTCCCTTACTCCTACATGCCACCGTTACAAAGGTTAATTGATATGGCAGGTGTCCTTAGTACCTCTTGACCCCTATTCTGACTGGTTGTTTCAGGATACCAATTAAATATTTAGAATATTATCTCTACTTAGTTGTAAATACTATTTGCATATTCAAAACACTGTAATTTATGATTTAGCTAAAATTATGATAAAATTATTGTAGTATGATACAAGAAGAAGATGTGTTGGAAAGGAGTTGTAATAGAGTGGAATTCTTAATTTAAAATATTTTATAGCCAGGTGTAGTGGCGCACTCCTTTAATCCCAGCACTCAGGAGGCAGAGGCAGGCAGGTCTCTGTGAGTTCAAGGCCAGCCTGGTCTACATAGGGAGTTCCAGGACAGCTGGGGCTACAGGGAGACCCTGTCTCAAAAGACCAAAAAAAATTTTATTTTTATTTTATGTGTATCAGTGTATTCTCTCTAGATAGGTGTGCCTATGTCATGCAGTGCCTGCAGAGATCAGAAGAGGGTGTCAGATCCCCTGGAACTGGAGTTATGGACACTTATTAACTGCCATGTGGGTGCTGGGAACTGAATGCTGGGCCATCTCAGCAGCTCCTTTATTTTCCATATTAAGAAATCTATAGATAATACCTGAAGCTGAAAAAAACTTAAGACTACAAAAGCAGTTAGTTTAGAAACATGAAACTAATAGCAAAAGAAATAGCTTTTTTTTTCAATATTTTTTTTTTATTTTTTAGAAGAAGCATTTCTTTAGAAGTGGTTAGAAATTCTTGTGAAATGGAAGGTTTAGGTGTGGTGCTGTGATACCTAACATTGTCTTTGTCTTTAATCTCTAGTACATTGAAAAGACAGTAATTCTAAGCCTGACATCTCAAGACTCTCCTTTAATATTCTAAACCACTTGACCTCCTTTCCTTCAGTGGCAGTATGACCACCTCACGGCTACCTATCTTCTGCTGCTGGCCAAGAAGGCTCGGGGAAAACCGGTGCGCTTACAGCCCCCACCTTTCTGCTGTGGACCCACCAGTGCCACCCCAAAGGTACGTGTAGAACCTCCTGTGGGAACACACCTGCTCCTCCTGCCTTGGGCTGCTTGTTCATGAGCAGCTAACACAGGGAAGTTGAATTTCTGGTGTCAAAGAGCCAGAGGTAACACATTTTATAGTCTAAACTTTTGTTTAAATCTACCACTGAGCTTAATCCAGCTGACTTAAACATTTCTTTTGTCTTTTTTTAAAAAAATTGATTCTTTGAGAGTTTCATAAAATGGATTCACCCCCACTTCCCCCCGCCACTCCTCCCAGAGCCACCCCCTTCTTCCCAACTCACTCAACTTTATGTCTTCATTTTTTTTTAAATTTTATTTAGGGGCTGGAGAGATGGCTCAGCAGTTAAGAGCACTGACTGCTCTTGCAGAGGACCCAGGTTCGATTCCCAACACCCACATGGTGGCTACGAACTGTCCTTAGCTTCTCTTTTGACCTCCTCAGGCATTGCACAACACGGTGCGCTTACATACATGCAGGCAATACACTCATATACATAAAATAAAAATAATAAATAAAATATTTTTAAAAAATATTTATTATTTTATCTATTTATTTTTAAATTTTATGTGTATGTGTGTATTGTCTGCGTGTAGGTAAGTGCACCCATGTCGTGCACTGCCGATGGAGGACAGAAGAGGATGTCAGATCCCCTGGACTGGAGTTACAGATAGTTGTTAGCTGCCATGTGGGTGCTGGGATTCAAGCCCCGTCTTCTGCAAGAACAGCCAGTGTTTTTAACTGCTGAGCCATCTCTCCAGTCCTATGTCTTCATCTTTTCCCCATTTAAAACCCATTGAGTCCAGTTTGTGCTGTTCATGCACTCATGGATGTGTGGCTGCCCACTGGAGTGTGGTTGACCTAGCAGGGGCTCTACCCTTTAAGAAACATTTTTGTGTAAAAATGGAGTCTGAACTTGAACTTTTAAAAGTTTGAAATGAATATGGCATTTTAAAAATACCTCCCTTTCCCCTCTTTTTTCTCCACAAAAGCAGATCCTGATTATTACAGAAATAGATTGGCTAAAAGAAATAATAGCATTTACCTATAAACCTATAGATAGGTGTAGTTAACTACCTAAATAGATGGTATAGTTAATCTTTCACATCTTTCCTGTCTCTACTTCAATGTGCTTGGTCTTGCACACACAGGAAGTAAGACCGATAAATACATGATACATCACATTTTATATGATGTATTTTAATATAAGCACTTTGATGTTTATGTTAACATTGGGTTTAGGTTTTTGCAATAGCTATAGCTCATGCAACTTATATGCCTTCCATGAGTGTTGGTTTTAAACAAATTGTGATTCTTTGTCTTTATTTCAGTTTCCTCTGTTGTGAGCATTGAAGAGTGGTGGAGGACTTTATTATTGGAAGCAATGTGTCATTCCTAGATGTTCACACTTCTTTTCTGTTTGATGCTTTATATTTCCTATGGATTAAATATTAAAGAATCGTTACCTTTATTTAGTGTGTGTGCACATGTGTAGGCACGTGTGCCACCATGCACACGTGGAGGTCAGAGGTCAGCTCGTGGAGGTTGATTCTCTCCTTCTACCATGTGGGTTCTCAGGATCAAACTCAGGTCCTCAGGCTTGTCAGCAAGTGCCTTTACCCACTGAGCCATGTCTCTGGCCCCCTCCCTACAGCTTAAAATTTAACTGTCTATTCTTCAGAGGCAAGTCAGGAGAATTACTCTGAATTCCAAGGTTGGCATGGGCCACATAAATGAGTTCAGGCTAGCCTATGTTAAAAAGTGAGATCCTGCCTACAAAACAAACAAACACATATGAACTATTTGAATACTTCATTAGATGAGTATGGAATTTTATAATCTTCCCTCAGATTAATTCAGATTACAATTTAATGACTCTGCTATTAGGACAATATACCTTTGGAGTTGGGGCTATTGATCAGTGGTGGAGTGTTTGCCTAGCACCTGTGAGGCCCTAGGTTTGATCCCTAGTATCTCAAAAAACAAAACAAGGCAACAGAAAGAAAACATATCTTTGTTTTCCTCAGAGACACAGTTGAACCTCTTTATAGAATTCAGTATAACTCAGATGACTGTGAATGAGGTCATTTTTTATTTCTTTAGATATCAAAATTATTTTTTAAAAAGCTAAAATTCTGCTTTTATGATCTCTTATTGAATCACCCTTCCCCAGCTTCCTCTAACTCCTCATTTCGATCTCTCCTTTTGGCTCTTGTAGTCATGTGCTGTCAGACTAAGAGGATCTTAAGTTCCTGCTAAACTTAATCTCTACTTGATCTTTGGACCAAGCTAAGGACTGAGAGTATCAGTGCAAGTGACTGTTGTGTAAAGAAATCTGTAAAGTGAGGGTCCCTCATTCCTAGACAGTGTTCTAGTTTGGTTTTGGAGAGTTTTGTCTGGCTGGTGAATACCCCATGCCCAAGTTCATCTTTTGCCTGTGTGCTCAGTCAATCTTCCTTCTCTGTTAAATTCTTTAAACATTCAAGTTTATTTGGGTCCAGAAGGACATAAAAATATGAGCTTTGCTTTTGACGAGAGTAATTGCAGGAAGGTATTGGATACCTCTATATTTAGAATGATTACTTCACTAAAAATTTTAATTTACACTCCAGTTAAGAGGTTTGGGTCATTTTCCCCAACCATTGGATTTTCTTGTGTCTGGATTGGCATGGTCTCAATGGAGCTGCTTGTGATTTGTAAAGTAGCCAAGTGGAAAATATCTAGGAAGATGTTTACTCTTCCTTTCTATATAATGAACATTTACCTAATAATTTCATTATTTGGGCAGACATATCATTGAATCAACTTTTATAGCAGATAGAGAGACATTTTAATGACTAGAAATGAAATGGAAATCAAATCTCGGGTTCTTTTCTGATCTTTATGCAAATCATTGAGCCTTGAACAAGTTTCATAGTTTCTTTGTCCCATTTTTTTTTGCTTTGATAGGATTGCCTTTTTTCTTTGGAGAGCTATTTATAAGAAGATGAACAGTTCTGATTTACCACTTAATTCATGGTGCTTTCAGTGAAACAGTAATATAGTCTGACTCACCACCAGCATTAGTGCTTTTAGGTTCCATGCTGGATTTGGGAAGCAGATCTATGTAAGTGTGGTGCTGGCTCTTGGAATGGTCATGCTGAGGCAGAACACATGCATTAGTCCGACATTGACACTGCATTGTAGTAGATGATGGGTTGTGCATGAGTGCTGTGCTGTGGGACTTTAGAGAGTGGGAGCGATAACCACTGGGAGATCCAGACTGGACCAGCCTTGAGTCTGAGATTGGTGGCAGAGACCGTACTGACTGTTTAAGTAGTCTTGGTATGAGAAGATTTGACCTTGAAGTGCATCAGCAATAAGTCTGGAAAAAAAGGGATATAGGTATTAAAAGTTCAAGTAAACGTCTGTGGCCAAGTTGACAAGATGCTGAGGGAAAAAAGGAAGGAGAAATTTAGCCAGGTTGGTGGCACACGCCTGTAGTCCCAGCACTTGGGAGGCAGAGGCAGGCAGATCTCTGTGAGTTCAAGGCCAGCCTTGTCTAAATAGTGAGTTCCAGGACAGCTGGGGCTACAGGGAGACCCTGCGGTCAAAAAGACAAAAAAAAAAAAGAAAAAAAAAAAAAAAAAGGGAGGACCACCTTACAGTCTTTAACTTAAGAAGCTACCAACTGTGTCAATACATACATACTAGGAATCTCATAAAAGAGATTGGGGCAAAAAATTCTTTGAAAAAATGGTCCCAAAGTCACACATGGGAAAAGAATGAAGGAAAGTTAGCTCTTCTAGTGGTAGTGTTAGTATGGGCCCCTAAAAAGTCCTGTTTGTGGGAGATTGTTCATAAGGTTAATTTATTCCTAGTCAAAATGATTAGCTATGCTATGCTATATTGCTATATGCTTTTTTCAAAAAGTTTTATTTTTTTATTAGTATGTGTGGTGGGGGCGGGGGCAGTGGCACAAGTGTGTGTGGAGGTCAGAAGGTAACTTTGTGGAGTTGTTTTTCTCCTTCCACCTTATGTAGGTTCTGGGGATCAAACTCAGGTCACCAGGTTTGAGAGGCAGGTGTTTTTACCTGCTTGGTTATCTTGCTGACCCTTACTATATACTCTTACAAGTAAAGTATCTGAGTGTCAAAAGTTACTTCCTTTCTCTCTTCTGCTTTGTTAGAACCGTTTACTTGTAAATTTGCAAATGTGTTGTCAGTATTGCTGTGTGGTGATGATAGGCTAAGTAAACAGTATGCCATATCTTAAAAAAAAAAGGTGGCATTCTCTAATATTGTTGCTTCTCTGTTGGGAAATTCAAGCCAGCAAGTAACTGTTGCCTCCATTTACTGTACAGAAGCCAAAATGCTCTATCTTAAACACAAGTATAATCATGTGGACTGAGTGATGGAGACAGGAAAATAGTAGGAACAAGTGTAATTGAAATTATAATACCTCCCGGGAGCCTGCAGCTGTCATTTTCACCCATGAGCCAGAGCTGTGATCCTGGGACTCTGGTTGCCTCCTCTGAAGCTGTGGTCCCTCCTGTGAGCTGGAGCCAGGATCCCTCCCTATGAGCCTGAGCTGTGGTCCCTTCCTATGAACTGAAGCTGTGTCCTCTCACATGAGCCTGGAGCTTTGGTCTCCAACCATGAGCCGTGGTTCCACATTCCTTTGGTAGTAGACTGATGGTAGAACAGATTGGAGGATGGAGGACTTCCCAATGTTGGGCAGCAGTTTCAGCCTGCTCTGAGTGTCTGCATTCCCCCATAGCTCCCTCCCCTGAGTTCCCAGGTTGTACATGGCAGTGACTTTGCCTCTGTGTTGGGCTTATCCTGGGGACAGGGGAGGTCCCTCTCATTTGTGGATTCTAGTTTTAGGAGGACTGATTTCTCTAGAATAGACTTCCCATTTCCCCTGAGGGCCATCTGTAGTCTTGACTCCATACATGGTTCTGGGCATCCAGACCTTGATGTTGAACCTCTCCCATTTACAGGCACCAAAAAGTTTTCCATCATTTTTCTATTAGTCTTCTATAGCCCAGTGTACCTTCACCTGTGCCCTACAGATGATGCAAATTACCTAACTGAACTTCTAGAGATAAAAATCACAGTCTGGGAAGTTAAAAAAAAGTACTGTAGCCGGGCATGGTGGCACATGCCTTTAATCCTAGCACTTGGGAGGCAGAGGCAGGTGAATCTCTGTGAGATTGAGGCCAGCCTGGTCTCCATAGCAAGTTCCAGGCCAGCTATGGCTACAGGTAGACCCTGTCTCAAAAAAACCAAATAATAATAATAATAACAACAACAACAACAACAATAATAATAATAAATGAAACAAAGTACTATAATATTTCAATATTATTTACTAATAAAACTGTACTACCAAGCTGTGAAATTTGTCATTGTTGCTCTAATGTAAATTTGCCATTCACTCCCTTTCTTCAAGCAATACAGAATTTTTCAATGTAATCATGTTATTTTTTTTTTAAAGGCAATGCTAATAAAATGTTTTTTGAATCATAGTGTTATCTTTAACTTCTTTTTTCTTTTTAATTAATAGTCAAAGAATCTGAGTCTGGAAGACATGACAGCAAGTGATGATAACTGTGTGGCTGGATTAATAGACTACCAGTTGTGTGAAGACAATTTATTAACTCCCCAAACACCACAGGTGGGTCACTTGTTACTCTTTAAAGCAGAATGCATGTCTCAATTATCCACATATCTAGGCCAACAGGAAGTCAGTGCTTGTAGGTTTATTGACTCTCTAGACCACTGAAAGCATGAATGAAGGATTATTGGACTATGAATGGCAGGGAAGTTGGTGATTGCAAAGTTAGGAATGCAGGATTCCATTTGGAGAACTTTATTGTTCCTGTTTGGTTTTATTTTTTTCTTTTGTAAAAAATATTTTTTTGATTTATTTATTTTTATTTTATGTGTATAAGTGTTATGCCTGCTAGTGTGTAAGTGCTCCCACGTCATGCAGTGCCTGCGGAGGACAGAAGAGGGCGTCGGATCCCCTGGAACTGGAGTTTATGGATGGTTGTTAGCTGCCATGTGGGTGCTGGGAATTGAACTGGGTCTTCTGCAAGAACAGCTAGCTCTTAGACATAAAAATAAAATAATTTTATTATTTTTATGAGTGTATTGCCTGTATGTGAGTGCACCCATGTCATGCAATGCTGCAGAGGTCAGAAGAGGGCTTGGGATTCCCCTGGAACTGGAGTTCGTAGCCACCATGTGGGTGCTGGGAATCGAACCTGGGTCCTCTGTAAGAGCAGTTGGTGCTCTTAACTGCTGAGCCATCTCTCCAGCCCCTAGAAATTTAAAAAAAAAAAAAATGCATTTATCTTTGAACTCTTGAATTTCTTTGAAGCTTAGATTAAGGGTTGGAGGCTTTGGATAGGGTAGATTGAAGCCTTCTAGAGAACAATCAGTTTCAGACCATATTACACTAAATTTAGGTTTAAGGTATTTGATTATGCACTTAGTGTGAATTTGGACCCTAAAGTTACATAAGAGCTCTTTGTTTATTCACACATTATTAAAGGAGGCAATTTCCCCAGAGCCAAAGCTAAGACACACACATTGTCTTCTTACTCCTTTTAGAGGGTGCATTTCTATTTAATTCTCCTTTTTGTTTTAGTTATGGCCCTTCCTGGCTTTCTATGAGTGCTTTGACTCTGACTTACAACCTTGCAGAGGCCAAAGGTTCCTGTGGTTGGTAGAGTCCAGGGGCAGGTTATCAGAGGCAGTAGGGAGGTGGCTCTAAGGCTCAATGTTGTTTCATGTTCCTGTTTTTAGTCTGCCTTCTGAGGATTCTTCTTACTGTTTTGTAAGCTCAGTTATAAATTTAAAAGAATTTAAAATAATTTTTATCAGTCATTTCTGTTAGAGTATTTTTTCATTTATTTTACTTATTTGACGTCTGTGTAATGTGCGTGTCTGTATGTGTACATGCGGAGGCCAGAGGTCAACACCAGGAATCTGCCTCTTTTGTTCTCCATCTCTTTTGGAGACAGGGTCTCTCACTGAATCCGGTGCTCACTAATCAGCCAAAACAGCTGGCCAGTGAGTTCTGAGTATCTGTCTGTCTCCACACTTTCCCCCATCCCCATGCCAGGATTGTGGACACATGCCATCACACCCAGCTTTAAATGGATGCTAGAATCAGAACTCAGGTCCTCCCTCATGCTTCTACAGTGGCCATTTTACCACCTGAGCCATCTCTTCAGTCCTTCTGTTAAGAGTATTTTAACTTCTTTTTTGGCCCTGATCACTAAAAAAACTTTTATTTTTAGTAGCTATTAGGTGAGTCAAACCATGGCAATCTAGGTGTAGGAAACATTACTTAGAGGCTAAGTTGTCCTAGACAACTCACTGTTGTCTAGGATCCTGGATGGGTTTAAATACTTAGCCTGAAACTTGTTGAAAATTACTTGCCACAGAACAGACTGAGATGTTCTACCTGTGGTACAGAGAACAGAAGATACATTTCTAAATTTCCTGGTATTGCTAATGTATCCCTTTTGATAGTATTTAATTTTACTAAGAACAGTACAAGGTAATTTGCAAATAGTGCATATTGTAAAGAATTGACATTTCTTCTTCAATGTGTTTTATTTAGTATCTTTTTCTTTCCAGTTTACGAAACATTGGACAGAATCAAATGATGTAGAGTCTAAATCATTAACTCCATTAGTATGCAGAGCAAATAAATTAAAGGACAAAGAGAATGTATGCACTCCCAAGTCTGCTGTGAAGAAAGAAGAGCACTTCGTATTTCCTGAGCCAAAGACTCCAGTTAGTAAGAACCAGTACAGAAGAGAAATACTCACTACCCCAGATCATTACTCTACACCCACAAAAGGTATTTGCTAAGAGAACCCAGCAGTAATTTAAAGGCCCAAATTTCATTTTTCTTACTGTTTATTTAAAACATACAGCCTCCCAGAAACGACTAGCATTGCTGTGTGGTTTCAGGGGCGATCAGGCTACCTTTTTGTCATGTTATTTGCATTAAGTAGGAATCAAAATATATTGCTTAACTTTTAATGATCCTCAAATGGTATTGTATTTAAGGATTTGTTTGTCTGTATTTTCATTTATGTTTATGTCTGTGTATATGCCATGTGTATCCACGTGCCCAAGGAGGGTGTTAGATCCCCTGAGCTGGAATTATACGCGGTTGTGAGCTACCCCACTTGAGTGCTGGGAACTGAACTTGGGTCCTGAATCTGAGCCATCTCTCCAGCCCCCCTTTTTGGTCCTGAATCACAGCACCATAGAATATTAACTTAGAACTTGTCTAATCCAACTCCCATTGTCATAGTTCAGGAACCTGGGACTCACAGGAGTGGAGTGCTTTGCCTGAAGTTGTATATCCAGGCTTAGCCTTCTTCAGCCCCACTTGGAATAACTCAGGCTGAAGTCTCTGTCGAGCTCTCCTACCCATCTGGTTCTCCGTCCTAGCATCTGGTCCTTTTCTGCCCTGCTGTAGTACCACTCAAGCCCTGCGGGTAGAGGAAGTACTTGATGCCCCTCCAGCTTTCACACCCCATTTCCCTTGCTTTCCTCTTCAGTATAATCATCACCAGTTGTTCAAGCTGTTCCCTTTTAGACACCTCAGTGTTTTGGTTGCTGGCCTCATCGGGACACATTCTACTTTGTCAGTATTCCTCTTAGAATATAGTGCCTAGATATGAAGCCAGTTTGCTAGGATAGGGTCTCACCAGGACAAGCAGTGTGTACCCTGCAGCAGAGGCTGTCGTTTACTGCAGACTTTCATGCTAGGTAGTAGGGTCATACTTGCTGAATGAAGGAATACATTAGAACTGGAGGTAATTTTATTTACCTTGATCTTTTGTCTGTGTCACTTTTAAAATCGACAGCTAAGCTTTTCTAGCCATTCCCCAGCAACTGTCCTTCTCTTGGGCTATACTGAGATCCTCACGAACCCAAACTCTGACACGTCGCCATGTGAACTGCTAAGCCCCTTCTTCCCGTTGTGCTCTGGTTTCTAGTGGGGTTGGCAGCCACATCAGACTTCAGCTTGTACATGGAGATATTGTGGAAGATTTTGCTCAAATATTTGCAGAAGTTCAATGACATTTTGCATTTCATCAACTCAGAGTCTTCTCTCCCAAATGAGAGACCAGTTTGGCATGACGAGGTGTTTGGTGTGGCTGCCTGCACTTGCACATAGCAGGAACTCAGAAGTGACTGCTGTTTCACCTGTTCCCAGCCAGCGTTCCCTCTCTGTTGGTATTTCTCTTACTATAACTGCATCATCTTTTATGTTTATATATTTGTTTCTATTTTATTTTTTATTTTTTGAGACGGGGTCCGTGTAGTCCAGGCCAACCTTCAACTCACTATGGCTATGTAGGTGAGAATGACCTTGAACTCTTGATCCTCCTGCTTCTACCTGATCTAAGTGCTAGGATTGTAGGTATGCACCACCTTGCCTGGTTACAATGTCCTTTAAAATTCAAGAAGTTAAGCAGGAGATAAGATGGACCTTAGCTCACCTTAATTCATTCAGGGATTTTATATGTGTTGGGGGTAGAGGGGTGTGTGTGTGTGTGTGCATGCCAGAGGTCAACCTTGGGCGTCATTTACTGTCTACCTTGTGAGACAAGGTCTCTTATTGGGACCAATTAGGCTAGGCTGGCCGGCCAGCAGACACTAGAGATCTAATAGTCTCTGCCTCCCCAGTGCTGAGATTAGAAGCTCATGTCACCAAGGCAAGCTTTTTTTTTTTGTCTTTAGATTTCCCTGTAACAGCCCCAGCTGGCCTGGAACTAGCTATGTAGACCAGGCTCAGGCTGGCCTTGAACTCACAGAGATCCAATTGCCTTCTGAGTGCTGGGATTAAAGGCGTTTGCTACCACGCCCAGCTGCCTCTTTTCTTTTCTTTTCTTTTCTTTTCTTTTCTTTTCTTTTTCTTTCTTTTCTTTCTTTCTTTCTTTCTTTCTTTCTTTCTTTCTTTCTTTCTTTCTTTCTTTCTTTCTTTCTTTCTTTCTTTCTTTCTTTCTTTCTTTCTTTCTTTCTTTCTTTCTTTCTTTCTTTCTTTCTTTCTTTCTTTCTTTCTTTCTTTCTTTCTTTCTTTCTTTCTTTCTTTCTTTCTTTCTTTCTTTCTTTCTTTCTTTCTTTCTTTCTTTCTTTCTTTCTTTCTTTCTTTCTTTCTTTCTTTCTTTCTTTCTTTCTTTCTTTCTTTTTTAATGTGGGTGCTGAGGATCTGAACTCAAAGTCTTCATACTTGCATAGCCAGCATTTTACAAATGAGCCACCTTCTTGGCCCATTCAGGAATTAACACACATACACACACACACACACACACACACACCAAAAATTTGTCAACATAGTTCCTTTCATTATTGATACTTTTTATGTGATTCTAGAGGTTTTCAAATGTGGATAGTTTGAAATTTATTTCATAATCTTGAAGTGTCATCAGTTTACCTATGTCCTCTCTGTGGGATTGTGTTGGTTAAAAGCAATTTTTGGCTATTTTTCTTTAACCAGAGAGCTGCTTCAGAGCAAGTGTCTGAAGCTGCATAGGATAGCTTCCGTTAGTGCATCTTGCTTTTACTGTGAGTTATTTTTTGACAAGAACTTTTCGTTTCCTGGTTGTGACTCCTGTGCAGTCTAGGCGGTGGTATCGTCAGAGGGCAGTTATGCATGGTAGCACACCCTCAGTATTCAAAGATGAAAACCATTTTACTGCTAGTTCTAATTACTCTCAGTTTCTTGTTCATGTAAAACCAGAGAGAATAGAGCTTAATAATTAAAACAAAACTAGCTCCTCAATTCTTCCTTTTTTTTTTGTCTTTTTTGAAGCAGGGTCTCCCTGTAGCCCCAGCTGTCTTGGAACTCACTATGTAGACTAGGCTGGCCTTGAACTCACAGAGATTCCCCTGCCTCTGCCTTCCAAGTGCTGGGACTACAGGTGTGCGCCACCATGCCCCGTTTCAATTCTTTTTTAAAACTTGATTATTAGTGTTATCACTAAAGTGCATATGTGTGTATGATTGTGTGTGTGTGTGTGTGTGTGTGTGTTGCTGGAGATTGAACCCAGAGCCTCATGCATGCTAGACAAGTGCTCTGCCACTCAGCTACATCCCTAACAGTATAAAATTTTAGGTCATAAACAAAAAATTAGTCAATGGTAACCAGATTTGTTGATGTACATCTGTCACAAATGCTATACCACCTAGATTAAGGCACAAAAGAGAAAAATAACAAAGCCCACTTCTCTTAAATAACTTTCGTCAAACTACTAAAGGGAACCAATTTCTGGCTAACAGGAGTAAACAGAGTTGTGAATTTAATTAACACCTTTGAAGTATGGGGGTGGAGAGATGGCTCAGTAATTAAGCACACTGGCTATTCTTCCAGAGGACCTGGGTATAGTTCCTAGCACCCACATGGAGGCTTACAACCATCCATAACTCCAGTTCCAGGGGATCCAGTGCCATATTCTGGCCTCCGTGGGCATTGCACAACACGGATGCACTTACACTTATGTAGGCAAAACACACATAGAAAAAATAAAATAAAACAAAACATAAAAAAGCATACTTGCAAGGTAAAATGATTTTTGGGAGGAAGGGTTTTGTTTTGAGGCAGGATGTTTTATACCTCAGGCTGGCCTGACTTATTATGTGGCAGAGACTGGCCTTGAACTCTGAATCCTGCTCCTTCCACACCCTGAAGTGCTGAGATTACAAGTGTCCTTTATGACACCCAATGATTTATTTATTTTTGTTTTTTATTATAGATTACCTGGAAACATTTTCTTTTTCTTTTTATGCGTGTGAGTGTTATGCTTGCATATAGGTAAGTGCACCCATGTCGTGCAATGCCCTCGGAGGACAGAAGAGGCTGTCGGATTCCCAGAACTGGAGTTACGGACAGTTGTTAGCTGCCATGTGGATGCTGGGATTTGAACCTGGGTCTTCTGCAAGAACAGCCAGTGTTCTTAAGTGCTGAGCCATCTCTCCAGCCCCAGAAACATTTTCTTTTTTAAAATATTTATTTATTTATTATTTTATTTTATGTGTATGAATGTATGTGAGTGTACCCGTGTCATGCAATGCTACAGAGGTCAGAAGAGGGCTTTGGATTCCCCCGGAATTAAGGATGGTTCATAGCCGCCATGTGGGTGCTGGGAATCAAACCTGGGTCCTCTGCAAGAGCAGTCAGTGCTCTTAACTGCTGAGCCATCCCTCCAGCCCCATGGAAACATTTTCTTAATTAAAGTCTTTAACTTCTCTGGCCAAATGGTTACAATATTTCTGGGTCACTGAATGAAGTGATGCACACATTACTGATAGAATGTCGGAGCCACAGTATATCAGCTACATACGGTTTTTGTTTATTGTTTTCCTAATAGCTAGAAAGCAGTGCCTGAAAGAAACTCCAGGTAAAACTCCAGTGAATTCAGCAGGAACAGACAAGTTAATGACAAATGTCATTAGCCCTGAGAGGCGGTAAGTGTTGGTTTTCAGACTCTTTGTTCTTTGGTGTAGATAATGAGATTCCTCTTTTCATCTGTGATAAACCTGACTAAGGGGAACCATGACAGATGGTGTTCAGACTAAGTCTGTCTGCATGACGATGGTATGTGGCTGAGAATGGTTACTGGAGCTGTTCTCCAGCCTTCTCCTGGGGTGAAATCATGAAGCTGATCAGCAGTGGGACTGGTATTTTAACGTCAAGCATAGCAAGCTGGGAAGATGGTGGCCCTGCCTCTGGCTGTGTAGTTCCTTCCCCAAGGCCTACTTTTTTCTGCCAGTGGAGTATAGGTATCCAGTAACAGACCACATTCCCCTAGATGGTGAAAGTACTAACTTAGGTTTCAACCCGCTCCTCTTAGATGAAAAGTCCCAAGGCATAAAGTGACTTGTCATTGTCTTTGTAACTGTTTTCTTAATGAGTGATCCATTTTGAGGATGCTGGGGGGAAACAGAATGTGAACTGACTCTTAGATGATGCTGTGGAATTATTAATTTTCTTGATGTCATTGTCATGATTGGGTAAGAAGAGATGTACACTGAGTTGTTTCAGAGTATCATAATACCTTCAGATGGCTGAACAAGCATGCACATACATTTAGTCTATTTATTTATACACATAAAGCCACTGGCCATATATTAGCAGTTGTTGAGCCTAGGAGGACATGAGAGTGTTCATTGTATTGTTCTTTCCATTTTCCTGTGTTGGATTTAAATAAAGAATGAAAGGCTGGGCCTGGTGGCATAGACCTGGAATCCCAGCTACTTGGTAGGCTGAAGTAGGATTGTCAAGGCCAGCCAGGACACTTAGTAAAGACCCTATCACAAAATAAAAAATAAAAAGAACGCTGGGGAAATAGCTCATTGGTAGGGTACTTGCCTAGGATGAATGAGGCCCTAGTTTCAATCCTTAGCATCCTCTAAGTAAAACAAAATGAGGGGACAAGTAGTTTTTGGGGAGAGGGATGATTCCTCTCTCATGGGAGATGGCTTTAGTTTCCCTGAGGAGGACCGAGATGATCTGGGTCTGGCACATCTGCCTGAGGCCCCAGCACATGCAATGGGATAGGCATAGGATTGTGAGGGCCCCAGCAGGACAGAGGCCCAGTGCCACTAGTGCTTCGCTGTTTTCTAAGGTGCCGCTCGGTGGAAGTAGACCTCAACCAGGCACACATGGAGGGCACTCCTAAAAGAAAAGGAACCAAAGTGTTTGGAAGTCTTGAGAGAGGATTGGATAAGGTCATCACTGTGCTTACCAGGAGCAAAAGGAAGGGCTCTGCCAAAGATGGGCCAAGAAGGCTAAAGGTAAGTGGACTTTTATACAGACTCCGAAGCTGCTAACTGGGTTTCTTTCTAGCCCTGTACCTTTTCTTTGACAGAATCTCACTCTAGCCTAAGCAGTCTTCTTCCCAGAGCCTCCTGAGGTGCTAGGATTACAGTACAGGCATGGGCCACTTGTCACCACACCTGGCTGGACTGCGTTTCTTTTAAAACTTTTAAAAAGTGTGTGTGTGTGTGTGTGTGTGTGTGTGTGTGTGTGTGTGACCTTGATGTATGTAGGAGTGTAGGTGGCACATGCCATGATGTGTGTGGAGGTCAGGGGACAACTTTAAGTGATTGGTTCTCTCCTATCACTGTGGGATCCAGGGATTGAACTCAGGTCATCAGATTTGTGCAGCAAGTGCTTTTATCCAGTGAGCCATTTTGCTGGCCTTTTTCTCTTCTTTAAATTTCTATTATTTATTTATTTTTATTTTATGTGTAGGAACATTTTGCCTACATGTAAGTGCACTATGTGCATGCAGTGCCCGTGGAGGCCAGAAGATGGCGTCCAGGTCTTTGAAACTGGAGTTATGGATGTTTAGCCATCATGTGGGTGTTGGAAATCAAACTTGGGTCCTCTGCAAGAGCCATCTCTCCAGCACCAAATTAGAGCCATCTTGCAGGCCCTAATTTGAACTTTGAGTGTAGTGTGTGTGAGGAAAATAGTAAGTGACAGGTGGGAAGGTAGACTGAAGGCCCTTAAGGGCCTAGCTAAGAGATTTGGGTCTCATTTAATAGATCTGTTATGCTTTGAAAGGGTTAATCTGTCACTGGTGTGTACAATATGCTTGGTGGGGAAGGAAAGGAAAAATAAACTATTAGTGGGTATAAACCGCTTCTTCTCGGGTCCTCTCTGAGCATCCATTCAAATATTGAATGAATGGCATTTTGGTTTGGTGGCAATGGAGGAAGAAGTAAAAGGATAAATAAGATGTAGCTCACATCCTTGAAGAGTTCATAGAATGACCATGAAAACAGGCTGGGATGCTCCTCTGACATGCTGGGCTCAGTGCTGTGACAAAAGATGTTCCCAGACAGGCCCAGAGGAGGGGAAGATAGTTGTGGTTTTATGAATTGGGAGTTGGGTTTGCATTTATTCTTTTTTGCATCAAACCTCATTTGGAGCAGTTTCAGGTAGTTTAAAGGAAAATGCTGAGCACTGGGCAGGATACTTGACCGACTACTGAAATGCCATTTGTGCCCCCTCTTGAAGGCACACTCGTGCCTTCATGGTTATTGTATTGTTATACTTACGCAGAGCTCTGAGAAGTTTATGTTATAGTCCGCTCTTTATTAGGATAATTTATCCTTTTTCTGAGGTTTGTCTACCTATTGAAGATGGGATCTCTCTCTGTCTCTCTCCTCTGTCTCTCTCTCTCTCTCTGTCTCTCTCTCTCTCTCCTGTCTCTCTCTCTCTGTCTCTCTCTCTCTCTGTTTCTGTCTCTCTCTCTCTGTCTCTCTCTCTCTGTCTCTCTGTCTCTCTCCCCCTAATCCTCTTGCCTCTACTTTCCAAATGGTGATATTACAGGTGTGGGCCACTGTGTCCAGCTTGTAGTTTGTTTGAGACACAGTCTCACTCTTAGCCAAGGCTGGGCTAGAACTCATTATGTACAGCTCAGGCTAGCTTCAGACTTGTGGCAATCCTCCTGTCTCAGCCTCCTAAGTGCTGGGTTATAGGCATGAGTCCCCATGTCTCATTGACAGGAAGGATTTGAAACCATAACTTCGGGATTAAGAAAACTCTAGTACTGGGGCTGGAAAGATGGCTTAGCAGTTAAGAGCACTGACTGCTCTTGCAGAGGACCCAGGTTTGATTCCCAGCACCCACATGGTGGCTATAACTGTCCTTAACTCCAGTTCCAGGGGAATCCAATGCCCTCTTCTGACTTCCTCGGCAGTGCATGACACGGGTGCACTCATGTACATGCAGGCAATACACTCACATAAAGATTTAAAAAAAAAAAAAAGAAAACCCTAGTACCATTTCACTGAAAAATTAGAAGTAAATTAAAGAAACATGTTTCAACTCTATACATTATTAAGAATCTAGTTATCAAACATTATTGGCTAATATTCTAGAAATATTCGCCTATGAAGTTGTTTGGAATGTGAGTGCATTGTTCAGTAGGAACTGCTGTGGATTAGTTGGCTTTCTGGCTACTATTCTGGCTATCCATTCAGATGGAGGAGAGAAGAATACAGTATTGGGAATGAGAAGGCCTAGGTTCTAGCACTAGTGATTTCTGATGTACTTGGGAAATCTGGAAATAATGACTCCACTGGCAGCCTCATAGAGCTGAGCTACAGAAGCAAGCTCTACAACGGGCTGGGGCCTTCCAGTCACAATGCTCTTTGCTGTGATGTGCTTGCTGTTCCAGTGTTAAAGTCACTGTTATCATCAGTGTTGAGATTTTAACTCCAGTGTAGCAGAACCATGGTGCTCACTATCACAAAGATAGATCTGAAGCTCTATCTAGTTTTGGATTTCTAACCTTCTTCAAACAAACAACAAAAAGTCTAGGAGCATGCTATATAGCCCAGACAGGCCTTGAACTTGGAATCCTCCTAGCTTAGTCCTCTGTGCTGAGAGTGCAGACATATTACTAAACCTAAGCTTTTTTGTTTTGTACTGTTTGTTTTTGTTATTTTTGAGACAGGACCTCATGTGACCTAGCTGACCTGAGATTTGCAATGTAGCTGAGGCTGGCCTTGAACTCTTGATCTTCGTGCCTCTACTCTCAAGTGCTATGATTACAGTTGTGTGCCACCATACCTGGGTCTGTTTTGTTTGGCTGTTTTGTTGAGATAAGGTCTCACTTTGTAGTGCATGTTGGCCTAGAACTCACTGTTGCTCAGGCTGCCTCTTTCTGTCTTGGGCTTTTGGGTGCTGGGATTATAGGTATGAGCTTCCACCCACCAGCTTTTAACTCTCTAGTTCTTTAAGTTTTTGCAGAAAAGAACTTGCTGCAGAAAATTAATCTCACCTTTGCAACCAATTTCTTTTTTCTGCCCACCAATTCATCTTTCTTCTGCTACCCTCTTCCTCCCTCTTCTCTGACAGAGCTAAGGACCAAAGCCAGGTGCTAGACAAGTGCTCTACCCACAGCTATATCCCCAGATCTGTTCACCAACTTTTTTTTTTTTTTTTTTTTGGTGTTTGTGAGACGACAGGGTCTCCCTGTAGCCCTAGATGACCTGGAACTTGCTATGTAGACCAGATTGGCCTTTTTATATTAAACAATCATGGCCCTTGAGCACTCTAAGGCCTGCTGTCAATCTTGATAATATGTCTGACTTATTCTGTCAGACTTGTTCTATCTATTTGCTTTGAATAAAGTTTTCTTGCTACTGTAAAGAAAAGGCATGGTGTGTTTAAAAAAAAAAAAAAGGCCTTTAATTCCAGTACCTAGGAAGCAGAGGTAGACTGATAACTATCAGAGCAAAGCCAGCCTGGGATGGTCTACATAGTGAGTTCCAAGCCAGCTGGGACCTCAAAACAAACAGATAAATGTACTGGGGGGTGGTGGTAGTGGTGGTGGTGGTGGTGGTGGTGGTGATGCAGGTGATGCATTCCTGTGATCCCAGAACATTCAAGGCCATCCTTGGCTACACAGTGAGTTTGAAACTAGGCTAAACTACATGAAACCCTGTCTCAAAAGCAAAGCAAAACAAAAATGTCATGTGTGGTAGTGCCCAGGCTGTCCCTGTAACTTATGGTTCTCAGACCTCAGCCTCCTAAGTACTGGGATCATATGTCTGGTTTAAGATTATTCTTTGTTTTACAAAAGCCATAATTTAAATTGTAATTTGGAGGTGTTAGCTGGTTTGGTGACAAGCCCTATGTCGGAGACAGGAGACAGAAGGCCCTGCCATGGCTGTGCTACTTGTTCCCTTTAGGACTTAAAGCTGAGGTCCCCAAGCTCCGACCACTTGGCTCCCATCTTTCAGCGTTTACTGTATTGGCACATCATTTGGGCTATTATAAGTCATGTGGCATTTTCTTTATTTTTTACTTTCCTTTCCCCTTTTTTGTTATGCTGGGGATTGAATCAGGTCTTCATGCATACTAGGCGAGCACTGTATGCCTGAACTATATTGCTAGCCCAAAATGTTATGTTGATGCTTTTTTAAAAAAATTCATTTAGCTGGATGTGGTGGTGCACACCTTTAATCCCAGCACTTGGGAGGCAGAGGCAGGCAGATCTCTGTGAATTCAAGGCCATCCTGATCTACATAGTGAGCTCTAGGACAGCTGGGGCTACAGGGAGACCCTGTCTCAAAAGACCAAAAATAAAAAAAAAAAAAAAATCACTTATAAAACTGGGCCTGGTGGTTCACACCTTTAATCCTAGCACCTGGGAGGCAGAGGCAAGCAGATCTCTTTGAGATCAAGGCCAACCTGGTCTACATAGCGAGTTCCAGGCCAGCTGGGCTATAGGGAGACCCTGTATCAAAAAGACCACCACAACAAAATTCATTTATAGAACTATAATTGACATATAATAAACCACATATCTAATATATGCAGTTATGCTTTGGTTCATACAACACGTACACAAAATTTACCACAACCAAAATTAATTTTTTGTTTGTTTAAGATAGGGTCTCTCTGTAGCCTCAGCTGACCTGGAACTCACTATGTAGACCTCGCTGGCCTTGATCTCACAGAGATCTGCCTGCTTCTGCCTTGTGATTGCTGGCTAAAACTTAATTTCTAAATGTAAATTTGTTGAAAGGGAAACAATATCATTAGTTTTTGCTAGTTATAACTCAGATTGGAGCAAATAGGTTATTATTCAAGGAAAAAAGATTTTTCCATTTGTCACCTAGAGTTTTTCTTCTATATTAGTATGGGAGATACTACTTTAATAATTTGTACTTTTTCTTTAAGCCATAGGTTCTGTTTTATTTTGTTTTGTTTTTAAGATTTATTTTATTTTTAATTATGTGTCTCTGTAGATATGTGCATGTTAGTGCAGGTGCCTGTGGAGGGAGAAGCAAAGAATCCTCTGGAGCTGGACTTACAGGCTATTGTGAACCACCCAAAGTGGGTGCTGGGAACCAAACTGGAGTCCTCTGCAAAAACAGTATTTGAACTTAACTGCTGAGCCATCTCTCCAGCCGTTTGTTTTCTTGAGACAAGGTTTCACTCTAGGCCAGACTGGTCTAGAACTCACTATGTAGACTAGACTGGTCTTGTTGCCACAGAGATCCACCAGCCTCTGCCTCCTGAGCACTGGGATTAAAGGCGTGTGCCTCTACACACAGTTTGATACTTCTTTAAAAAGATTGATAGGACGCCAGTGAGATGGGTTAGCAAGAAAAGGTGCTGCCATCAAGTCTGACACCCCAAGTTTAATCCCTGGAACCCACGTAGTAGAGGGAGAGAACTGACTCCATCCAGCAAGTTGTCCTCTGTCCTCCACATGTATGGTGGTGTATACATGTGCATGCACACACACACACATATACACACAATGAGATGTAATTTTAAAAATTAAAAACGGGCTGGGCGTGGTGGCACACGCCTTTAATCCCAGCACTCGGGAGGCAGAGGCAGGTGGATCTCTGTGAGTTCAAGGCCAGCCTGGTCTACATAGTGAGTTCCAGGACAGCTGGGGCTATAGGGAGACCCTGTCTCAAAAAGACCAAAAAAAAAAAAAAATTAAAAAATTAAAAACAATTGATAGGAAAGGAAGACGAACATACAGGGTAGAAGTGACAGCAGGAGTCTTGAGAGACAGCAGTAAAGGGACTTGGTGCACAGGCCTGACAATGTGAGTTCTACCCCTGGAACTCACATAAAAGTGCTCTGACCATCACATGCATACTGTGGAATACAGGCATGCACACACACTGTATATATACAACACAATAATAAGATATGGATAGCATGGAGTAGTTTCTAATAAAGATTCTCCTGACTTTCAGTGCTGAGGTAATCCAGTCAACTGAGAACTGGCTGTCAGTTCTTTGAATGTTTGTTTTCCTGAAATATTTCCTTTTGAAAAGGTGTTATGTTGCTGGGCTTTTGCGTTGATGTAAAGATTTACTCCTCAACCATTCTTTTTCTTTTTAAGCCGCATTACAACGTGACCACAACCAGATTAGTGAATCCTGACCAACTCTTGAATGAGCTAATGTCTATTCTTCCAAAGAAGCAAGTTGACTTTGTACAGAAGGGGTAAGACTACACCTGCCGCCATGGGTTCACTGCCTGTGAGCTTGGATTCCCTTCCCCTATCCGCCCGCCTAAAAAAAGTAGTCTCTACCACTTTCCAGAAAGATTTTACAATAGTATCATTGTTCACAATTGATTTTCTTCTGTTTGATTGTAAAGCACCTACTGTCTCTGTTTTCAAGGTTAGATTTCATTTCAGAATTGAAAAATCTGAATTTATTGTTTCCTTTTAAAATCCTCTGTTTCCAGCTGGTAATGCAGAGGCAGAGGCAGGCAGATCTCTGTGAGACCATGGCCAGCCTGGTCTACATAGTGAGTTCCAGGTCAGCTGAATCTGCAGGGAGACTCTGTCTCAAAATGACAGAAAAAAAAAAAAAAAATCTCTATTTCCTTTAATTTTCTACTTTTTTAGAAATAATGCTTATCATTTGTAATCTAAATTAATGAGACACTTTGAACCAATCAAAGAGTTATAGATTGCTTCTCTTTATGACCAGCTATTTTAGAGTTGGGTTTTTAGCAGGTGTCTTAGTTTGCTTTCTGTTGCTGTGATAAAACACTGACCAAAACCAATCGGGGAGGCGGGTGATTTGGCTGGCAGCTTACAGTCCATCATTGAAGGAAGCCGAGGCAGGCACTGAAGCAGAGACCATGGAGGAACATTGCTTTCCCTGGCTTGCTTAGCCACCCCTTCTGTATAGCCCAGGCTTACCTGCCTAGAAATGGCGCTGCCTGTAGTGGGCTGAGCTCTCCCCCCCTCAAATCAGCAATCAAGAAAATGCCCCAAAGGCATACCCACAGGCCAGTCTGACGGAGGAAATTCCTCACTTGAGGTTCTCTCCTTCCTGTGTCTCCAGTTGGTGTTAAGTTGATGGAAAACTAAAGCAGCCCATTAGGTTAAGGAAGTTGTTTTGCCAGCTCTGTCCTGCTGTAGCTTGAGCTGCCATCAAATCTCCTTGGTAGTGAACTCATGGTCTGAGTAGCTAGGCCTTGTCTGATCACACTAGTTCTTCCTGTTTCTAATGTAGTCCTACTAATACATGTCTTTTAAATGCTTTAAAAAAAGAGTCTCACTATATAGCCCAGGCTGGCATGGAACACATGAGCCTGGCTGCATCAGCTTCCCAAGTACTGGGTTACAAGTGTATGCCATCACACCAGCTTCTAACATGCCTTTATTTTACCTTTTTATTTAAAAAAAATTTATTGTATGTGTATGAGTGTTATGTCTGCATGTATGTAAGTGCACCTGTGTTGTGCATTGTCCATGCGGGACAGAAGAGGATGTCAGATCCCCTAGAACTGTAGTTATGGATGGTTGTTAGCCATCATGTGGGTGCTGAGATTCGAATCCAGGTCTTCTGCAAGACTAGCCAGTGTTCTTAACCACTGAACCATCTCTCCAGCCCCCCCTTTTTTTTTTTTTTTTTGTTAAGGTTTATTTATTTTATGTGTATGACTGCCTGCATGTGTATGTGTGCACCTGTGCACCATGTATGTGTCTGGTGCCCTCAGAGGTCAGAAGATGGTGTCAGATTCCCTGGAACTGGAGTTACAGACTGTTGTGAGCCACTGTGTTGGTGTGGAAACTGAACGTAGGTCCTCTGTGACTTTCTCCTTTTTTGGTCTTTTTTTTGAGACAGGGTCTCCCTGTAGCCCCAGCTGGTCTAGAACTCACTATGTAGACCAGGCTGGCCTTTATCACAGAGATTTGCCTGCCTCTTCCTCCCAAGTGCTAGGATTAAAGGTGTGTGCCACCAAGCCTGGCTTAGGGTGATTTATTAAAGATAATCTTGTGAATGTATATTATTTACACTCTATAAATGTTGGCAAGTGTTACTCATATGGTTTTCTTTCAGCTTTCTCAAAACACATTCCCCTAACTTACTCTTAGATCTTCTTGTTCTTGGAGGCTTATCCCTGGTCCCAGAACCTCTAGCCAAACCTCATATAGCCCTGTGGGAGATCTCTCAGCATGTGACCCAGCAGGAGATAACTAGCTGAAATCTAACCAATACTGTGCTCTCCTAACTTCCTGAGCCACCAGAAGTGTTGTGTCTTGAGGTGACTGACCCTCTTCTTTTACTTCGTTTGCTTTTATCTGTGACGAAGCAGAAGGCAACAGTTTGTGTTCCAGTGATGCGATGCTCGTCTCTCGATTATATCCCGTTCTTCTCCCCAAGAAGGATGAATTCCTGTCAGTCTTCCATATGGCTAGACTGTTCTACCCTTTACCTTCCTGTGAAGAGCTTTTACCACTGGGTTTTCCTTAAGGCATTTCTGGTATTGACTGCTTATTTCTAAGGGATCAGGCCCTTCCCCATATTTAGTGTAAATAAGTTAGTAAGACAGATATTTTGTGAAACCTCATAATAAATAATAAATAAAAATAATCACCACCCCTTTGGAACCATAAGTTTAAATAAACTCTTCCTTTTATATTAAAAAAAAAAAATCTCCACTATGTATGGTGGCACATGCCTCTATTCCCAGCACTGTGAGTCTGAGCTGGGAAAATTTTGAGTTTTCAAAACTCTCAGTTACTATGAGTTTGAGACTAGCCTAAACTATATACTGAGTTCCTGGCTAGTCTGGGCTATATGGAAAGATCCTGTCTGTTGTTTTATTGAGACAGTCTCATGTAGCTCAGGCTGGCCTCAAACTTACTATGTAGTGGAGGATGATCTTCTTGATCCTCCTGCCTCTATCTCCCAAGTGTAGAGATTCTAGGTGTGTACAACATGCCCAGCTTACAAGACCCTATCTCAAAAAACCAAAAGCCCAAACTAAGAAAATTTCCACACTTAGGAAGAACAGTTTCTTTCTGATAGGTTAATGGCTCCAGCTTTATTTTTATGAAAGAGAAATTTATGAGATGGGAATACTCTTAATATCCCTTGTTTTCCTTTGTTGTGAGCATTGTGGAAATGATCTAATGTTCGTGGATTACACTGTAGAAAAGGCTGCATAAAAAATGCCAGACTTCTGGGCATGCATGACATGTACAGCTGTGAAAGGACTTTTCTCTGGAGCCAGGGAGAGTTCTGGTAAAGCCTTTTCTGTCTCCTTCTTAGGATCCTCACTCAGCTTCTAGGAAAGCAGCAGTCACGCTCCATCACTAACACATATTGAGGCAAGGCTGTTTGGAAACTGCACAGAGAATATACTGCTTAATGTGAAATAATGGCTCATCTTCCCACCAGCTCCTAGAAGCTTAGAAACCTCTTGTATTATCCAGAATATTCATGCGTTCCTACTAACTGGCATCTTACCCTGTTTTTCACAGTTACACATTGAAGTGTCAAACGCAGTCTGATTTTGGCAAAGTGACAATGCAGTTTGAACTAGAAGTGTGCCAGCTGCAGAGACCTGATGTGGTGGGCATCCGGAGGCAGCGGCTTAAGGGTGATGCCTGGGTTTACAAGAGATTAGTCGAAGATATCCTGTCTAGCTGCAAGATGTAATTGGTGGATGGTTTCCATCCTGCCTGGAAGAATGCGGGTATCATATGGCCTATGAGGATTGGTGTGATTGGTTTGATTTTTCAAGTCCATTGGAACTACAAACTCATTTCTAAAAAGCTGTCTTGAAGAAAAACATTTTGTATTTTTCAACAAAAAGGTCTATTCTGTGGTTGAGTCTAAGGCAAGCCCTTCTCTCACCTGTTGCTGTCTTTTTCAGTCATGTGGCTTTGTATGTTAGTAACTGCTGACTTTTCTAGATTCACTTCCAGAAGAGAATCTAAGCCCTTCCCTTGGCTCATTTTGATGTACAGCTTCTTTCTGAAATAAAACCATTTGTGGCTGTGTTGGGCTTCTCCATATTTGATTTCCCTCCAAATAAAACCTCAAGTGGCTTCCTGATTATTAAGTAGAGACTATTTGGAGTATGTTTTATCTGTTATCAAATATGCCTTGGGCAGAAAAACAGATACGAATTCATTTGCATAATTTTTTCTTGTCTCTGATTTAAGTAGGATTTATTGAGATCGTTAACTAAGTCACAGCTGTGGTTACCAGAGTTAAACAACACATTTAATATGTAGTATAAAAGAGTATTGACTTCAGTAAGTATGTCCAGTCAACAATGATAAGTATCCAAACTAAGAGCCCCCATGAAATGTTACTTTATGATAATCTCCCTAAGTCTGGACACTGGCCCCAAATTTGTATTTTTATTTTGTTTTATTGGTCTCTCAAGGCCAGAACTCAAGTTACATTTGTATGGATTTTACCAATTAAACTAGTTGGAGGAAAAATAGCACTGTTTCTGGTCAGTAGCAAGGGAGTGTTTTCGAATTCATTTATTCAATAAACATTTGCTAAGTGCTTACAAGCATTAGGTCCTAGAGCCGAAGCTGGTTCTGTATAGCAAGCCGGGTAGCTCAGTCTGGGCCATGTTTGTAGTGTTCACACCTGATCTGAAGGTAAGTTGATGTCTTGAAAAAAATAGTATTTAATCTTGAAGTATAGGAATTTACTAGAAGGAGAGAGAGAGAAGTGTGGTCTTAGCAGAATCCATGTAAAGGCATAGCACTTTCAGGGGGTCAGAGAGAAGTTTTGAAAAGGAAATGGTGCTAAGTGTGTGAGGTGGAAGTCGAAGGTGAAGTGAGGAGAGAAGAGACAAGAGTTGGATGTTTAGGCAGAAATAAACCATGAGAAACTTCAGTGCCCCTCTAGAGAAAGTGTTTTGGCAAAGGACAGCTGCCACACAATTTTACATGGCCTTGTAATGGTTTTATTGAGATAGAATTCACATACTGTAGGATCCACCCTTTGAAATGTCTACGTTTCAGAGGTTTTAAAAGCATTTTTGCGGGCTGGTAAGATGGCTCCACAGGAAAAGACTCTTGCTGCCAAGTTTAATGATCCGAGTTTGATACCTGGAACCCACTGTCCCACAAGTTTTCCTCCAACCTCCACACCATTCTGTCATGTCTTCCTCCCCTCCCCTACCCCTATGACAAAATAAGTGAATATAAAAATAATTATTAAAAAATAAGGAAGGTCAGGCATGGTGGTGCACGCCTTTAATCCATCCCAGCATTTGGGAGGCAGAGGCAGGCCTGGTTTAAAAAAGAATGGAAATGGGGCTGGAGAGATGGCTCAGCAGCTAAGAGCACTGATTGCTCTTGCAGAGGACCCAAGTTCAATTCCCAGCACCCACATGGTGGCTACAAACTGTCCTTAACTCCAGTCAGGGGAATCACCATTCTGTCATGTCTTCCTCCCCTCCCCTACCCCTATGACAAAATAAGTGAATATAAAAATAATTATTAAAAAATAAGGAAGGTCAGGCATGGTGGTGCACGCCTTTAATCCATCCCAGCATTTGGGAGGCAGAGGCAGGCCTGGTTTAAAAAAGAATGGAAATGGGGCTGGAGAGATGGCTCAGCAGCTAAGAGCACTGATTGCTCTTGCAGAGGACCCAAGTTCAATTCCCAGCACCCACATGGTGGCTACAAACTGTCCTTAACTCCAGTTCCAGGGGAATCCAAAGCCCTCTTCTGACCTCTGCAGCATTGCACAACACGGGTGCACTCACATACATGCAGGCAGTACACTCATACACAGAAAAATAATAAAATATTTTTAAAAAACGAAAACAAGGACTGGGAGATGGCTCAGTGGTTAAAGCGCTTGCCATGCAAGTGTGAGGATCAGGGTTTGGGTCCCCAGAATTCTTATAAATGCCTCGGAAGGTGGAGACAGAATCCTCAGAGCAAGCTGCATAAACTCTGGGTCTGACTGAGAGACCCTATCTCAGAGAACATGATGGAAGAGTGATCAGGAATGACTCCCAACATCAACCTCAGGTCCCTGCATGTATACGTGCACTCAAGTGCTCATGCACATGTGACCATGCATAGTCCTCACACACATGAAAATGGGAAGGGGGGGAGCATATTTGGTTATGCAGCAGTCACCACAATTTTGTAAGATTTTCATCCCAACAAACCCTATGGCGTTGGAAAGAGTCAGCCTTCATTCCCCTACCCCATAGCCCTAACGGGGACAAATTCACTTTCTATCTTTACAGATTAACTATTCTGCACAGTTCATAAAAACATGTTCTAGTTTCATTCTGTTGTTTTGACAAATACCATGACCAAAAGCAACTTGGGTGAGCAAAGGGTTTACTTGATTTACACTCCAGCTTGTAGGCCATCACTGAGGAAAGTCAGGGCAGAGCTCAAAGGCAGAGACTGGGAAAATGCTGCTTGCTGGCAGACCCATGCATAGCTAGCTTTTTCTTTAAGTTTTGTTTTAAATTATGTGTATGGTGGGGGGAAGAGTGTATGTGCATGTGAGTGTAGGTGTCTACAGAGGGCAGAAGAGGGCGTTGGATCCCTGGCAGTGGACTTAGAGGCAAATAAGAGCCACCCAACATAGGTGCTGGGATTTGAACTTGGGTCCATTGATAGACTAGTATGTTCTCTTAACCACTGAGCCATCTCTCCAGCCCCAGCTAGCTTGCTTATACAGCCTAGGACCACCTACTCAGGGAATGGTTTGGCCCACAGTAGGCTGAGCCTGCCTGCATCAGTTAATAAGACAATCCCCCATAGACATGCCTACAGGCTAATCTGATCTAGGAAATTCCTCAATCAAAAGTTTCAGATGATCTTTTCTTTCTGCTGGAGCAGCCATCTTCCAGTGATTTGCCAAAATGACAAAGGGAAAGAGGAGAGGCTCCTGCTACATGTTCTCTAGGCCTTTTAGAAAACATGGACTTATTCCTTTAGCCACATATATGTGAATCTACAAGAAGGGTGATATTGTAGGCATTAAGGGAATGGGTACTGTTCAAAAAGGAATGCCCATAAATGACAAAACTGGGAGAGTCTACAATGTCACTCAGCATACTGTTGGCATTGTTGTAAACAAGCAAGGGCAAGATTCTTGCCAAGAGAATTAATGTTCATATTGAGCATATTAAGCACTCTAAGAGCCGAGACAGCTTCCTGAAGTGGGTGAAGGAAAATGACAAGAAAAAAAAGGAAGCCAAAGAAAAAGTTTAAGCTTCAGCCTGCCCCACCTAGAGAAGCACACTTTGTGAGAACTAATGGAAAGGAGCCTGAGCTGTTGGAGCCGTTCCCTATGAGTTCATGGCTTAATGTACAAGAAGAAATAAAAGACCTAAACATGGTGTTTTCTTCTTCGTTGTGAGCCTGAGCCTTTAACAGCTGTGCCAGCTCTCCAGCCCAATAGTGTTTTCTTTAAAAAAAAAAAAAAAAAAAAAAGTTTCAGATGATTCTAGGCTATGTCAAGTTAACAAAAGCCGACTTGGACAAATTGGGCTAGAGCGAGGACTCAGTGGTAAGGAGCACTTGCTGGTCTACATCTACATAGTTCTAGGCCAACGAGCTACAAGGAGACCCTGTCTCAAAACAACAAAATGAAACATAAAAGAACTTTTTATTTTATTTCATGATTTGGTTTTTTGAGACGGTCTCACTATGCAGCCCTGGCTGGCCTCTGCCTTCTGAGTGCTGGGATTAAAGAGGTGTGCTACCACACTAAGCAAGAACTTTTTTTAATTTTCACTTTAGTTCTTCCAGTGGTGAATTCCTTTTTTGTCTGAAAACGTCTTTATTTTGCTTTCATTTGAAAAAAGTAATTTTTGTGATTTATGTGTGTGTTTTGCCTGCATGTGTATAAGTGCACTTGTGCATGCAGTGCCTGTGGAGGCCAGAAGAGGGCTTCAGGTCTCTGGAACTGGAGTTACAGATGGTTGTTAGTAGCCATATGGGCTCTGGGAACTGAATCTGGATCCTCTGCAAGAGTAGCCAGTCCTCTTAACTGTCAAACTATCTCCCCAGCCCTTTACTTTCATTTTTAACATTTTTCTCAGTGGTTTACAATTCTAAATAGGCATAGTTGTTTTCCTCTCTTTTCAGCATTAAAAAAATTTATTATTTTTATTTTATGTGTATGAGTGTATTGCCTGCATGTTATGTGAGCGCACCCATGTCATACAATGCCACAGAAGGTCAGAAGAGGGCTCCAGATTCCCCTGGAACTGGAGTTAAGGACAGTTTGTAGCCGCCATGTGGGTGCTGGGAATCGAACCCAACCCAGGTCCTCTGCAAGAGCAGTCAGTGCTCTTAACCACTGAGCCATCTCTCCAGCCCCTTCTCAGCATTTTAAAGATTTGATCCCATTGTCATCTGGCTTCCATAATTTCTTTTGGGAAATTAGCCATTAGTCTTCGTTTTGAAATTTTTTGGTTTTTTATTTTATGTCATATGAGTGTTTTGCCTGAATGGATATAAGTGCACCCATGTTATGCAATATCTGGAGATGCCAGAAGAGGGCATCAGATTCCCTGGAACTGGAGCTACAGATGGTTGCTTGCTGCCATGTGGATCCTGGAAACTGAACCCAGGTCCTCTGGAAGAGCAGCTAGTGCTCTTAACCACTGAACCAGCTCTCCGGCCCCTGGCCTTTGTTTTTGAAGGGAGCTGCTGCTCTCTACCTGCTTAAAATTTTTCTTGTCTTTTTTTTTTTTAATTTTCAGTAGGTTGATGTAGTTACATGTTCCCCTTCCCCCTTAGAATTTATAC